AAAGAACTTTAGATCGACTAGACGCCTTCGAAATCGCTGTCTCAAAGACAAATTGGAATAGTATACTTTGCGAACTTAGTGCCGATGGTGCTTACACTTTTATTGAATTATTTTTAAGTTTGTATAAGCCATACTTTTCCTTCACACCTATAAAAACAAATGAACGCATAAGAAAACCTTGGATAACTCCAGAGCTACCTTGTAAAATTAACACAAAAAAACGTCTTGTATGGCGAATTCGCAAAATCAAGAAACAAGAATGATCAATCAATATTCAAAAACTATCGCAACAACTTAATGAAAGAACTACTGCGTGCGAGACAGCGTTATCATTTCGACATGTTTAAAGCCGCACAGGGCCGTGCAGACGTCATGTGGAAGCGGCTAAACTCTCTCATCGTGATCGCCCATCCAGTTCTATTGAAAAAATTATGCATAACGGCACTGAACTTACTGGTTGCTCATTGGCAAATGCTTTCAACGAACATTTTGTAAATGTTGCGAGTACGTCTGCAACAAATAATGCTGCTATTTTTAGCGGTAAAAAAAACAGTGACACGATATTTTTAGACCCTGTGGTAGAACCCGAAGTGTTGAGTGTATATTTGCAGCTTAAAAATAGTGGAAGCTGTGACGTAGATAGTATTCAAATAAGGCCTGTAAAGCACGTGATTCATTTGTTAGCACCTGTAATAACTCACATGTTTAGTATTTCTCTAGCCACAGGAGTATTTCCTAAGCGAATGCAGATTGTTACCCAAAGGAAAAATCCATCAATGTAACCCTGTTTGGCAGTCAATGTTTTCTAGTGGACCGCTGACTGTACGTCAAGCATGTCTGATTGGCCAACAAGTTACTCTGACCGACAGTCAAACTCCAGTCAGACTTCACTTGTCGGTTTTCTGATGGTTTCCTGGTGGCAGTCGTCCGCCGCGAAATGCCATCAAGATGTCTTGGTGGCGATTCTGATTGTACATCGATTGGCTCTGACTGTACGTCAAAAAGCTTTGACGTGCAGACAGACGTACGGTCAAAGGACGTAAAGTTCGTTCGGATATCACTATTTCGTCAAATCTATGAATACGAAAAATAATCTATGCACAAGAAAACGATTTCGGGACGTTAGCCCATAAAACCGCTCATGTTAGAGATATGACACGCAGCCGACCGACAACCTTGATCAGAAGCCCGCCGAACACTTCGCTGACTTCGTTTCGACCATAGAGGCTTCGCCGAGCTTTCATGAACGATCGCTCTCGACTCGTTTTGTTTGCCCGCTTGCTCCAACCTGTCGATCCTGCCCGGGCTCTACAATGTATTATGTTTTAGTAGAATTTCTACTCGACAAGACCCAGCCTGTTGTGAGGTCTGACGATGTAAGGGACTTTAGCGGTGTATTTGAAGACGACAAGGTGTACCATGTCTACAGGGCCGGAGACGCGCGAACAAAAGGATTGTTCTACGGCGCGAAAGTACTCTACATGGCAGGTGAGTAGAACTGAAGTACGGCGAGTGATGTACGAGTGCTCTGCATAACATGCTGAAGGCTTAACTGCATTTGCAGCCGAAGCATCTCGTAACGGATGGTCAAATCGAGTTTCCTAAGCGGTGGCATAGCATAGGGGTTACGGTGTCCGATTTGTACTTAAGTGGTCGCGGGTTGGATCCGGGCTAATCCTGCTTTTTTTTTTTCTTTTTTTTTTTCTCGAACATTGTTTTATCGAGGCATTTGGCGATATTTATGAGTGCGTATAGCTTTACTCTTATATAAATGCTGCCCTTGTCGATGAAATTCCCTTGGCAGTGGCAGTCAGACGCCATCTGATGGACCATCAGATGACGTCTGATGGTCCATCACGTTCCACCAAGGCTGTTGACTGGCAGTCAGTGTCCCAAATTACTTATCTTGGTGGAATTTTCAATTGGGTAAGGTTTCAGTATTGTATAAAAAAAGTAAGCGTAAATGAACTGGGAAATTACAGATCCATCTCAATATTGCCAGTGTTCCCCAAGGCACTCGAAAAAGTCATTCATACCCGATTAACTAACTTTTCTAATAAGTACGACTTGATAATAGCGTCGCAGTACGGTTTTAGAAAGCACAAATCTACGGAATCCGCTCTACTTGTTCAAAAAAAAATGGTGGCCCTTGGAATATTCATAGATTTTACCAAAGCTTTCGACTGTCTCAATCATCAAATTCTATGTTCTAAATTAGATAATTATGGAATTCGAGGGCACGCTTTAGAGTTAATACGGTCGTATCTGGGGCATCGGATGCAATATGTTAGTATTAATGAAAACTCCTCCACGATAAAACATTCTTTTTGGCGTACCACAGGGCAGTATTTTGGGTCCTTTCCTTTTTAATATATATGTTAATGATATTACCAATATTAATCCAAATGCAAAATTTGTCAACTACGCTGACGACACAAGTATACTCTTTAATTCAAATAATGCTGATACCTTAATTGATATGGCAAACCTGACTCTGTCTAGATTAGAAATATAGAGTGAGAACAACGCGTTGCAAATAAATGCGAAGAAAACAAAAGCCGTGCTTTTTCGCCCGAAAAATAAACTTGTAAACATTACAAAAGACCTAAATTTAAAATCTAGCAACATTCAAATGGTAAACTCCTTTAAGCTCTTAGGTGTTATTTTCTCTGAGAATATGTCGTGGGAAAATCATATAAACAACCTTATTCCAAAGCTATTCCGGGCTGTGGGCATGTTAAATCGTCATCGTTATATTTTGCCAGAAAAAAATAAAATTATTATTGTATAATTCTCTATTCCACTCCCAGCAAAGTGCAGCAAATTAGAAATACGAATTTTTTTTATAAATCTTGCACAAATCTCGAAACACATTCATAGTTACTCTACCCGCGGAGCTGAATGTTGGGAGGTGGTCACACCGAAAACAAATTATGGCACACAAACGCTAAAATATGCTGTTCCCAAATTATTTAATCTGTTTTTAGCTAAAGGTATTGATTGGGACAAATTATCGTTGAGTGAAGTGAGGTCACCCTTTTTTCACTGATGTAGTTGCTCTCTTTACTCCGTGTTTTGTTCTTAATACTATGAGCTTGTTTTTGTTTTTGTTTGCCCGTCATGGTCCTATATGTCAGCATTGTGATAATCTAATGTATTGTGCTTAACATGTTGTGATGGTGATCATTTTCTGTACATTTGGGTTTCTCTTTTGATTGCTGTATTATTTCCCCACTCTGTCGCTGCTGCTGTAGGCGGTCAGGAACCCGTTAAGCTGTACCTCACAGCTTTTTTTTCCTGATCGCCCCCATCATCTTATGGTAGAAGTAAACACTATTATTATTATTATAAACGTGCACCGATTTCACCACTACTTCGCCGAGACTACCAATCGTTTCGTATCGCCGCTGACTATGGGCGCTGGCTGTCGCTCGACTCTGGCGCTCCCTATAACCACCTGCTTTGAGCGAATTGGGAGGATAAAAAATTACTCGAAGAAAAAGTTTGCTACCGGCTTCATGAGCGCTGCAACTTTATTATCAATTTTACAGAAAAAATGAATACGTTGTACAATTCAATAACAACTGCATATACTCTATTTGCTTGCTTATCACTAGGGTGTGTACTTTCCGGTGTTTATTTGTGAGAAAAATCGGAGGATGTTTTTCGGTGTTTATTTATTTTCGAAACACCGGTGTATTTCGGTGGAACGTTTCACGACGAGGCTAAAATCGGTGATTATCGGTGGAAAAAAATGCGATTGATCACAGACAGAGAGTTCCAATTTTATTCAAAGATTTCATACACTTCTCAAGGAAACATATATTTCTCACACTTGGTTATTATAGTAGATGCAAGCATACTTCGAGAGGCTTGCATCCGTCATGGCAGCACGTTCCTTGCGGTTCACAACCCGCAATTTTGAAAACGCACGCTCTACATTTGCGCTGGACACAGGAAATCCCAAAATGTCCACCGAGGCTTGGGACAGTAGTGGCCAGTCAGGTAAATGAAGTTTCCAAAATAACACTGGATCAACGGTGCTAGTCACAGCATACTGGCGGTAACAAAGGAACTCTGATTCTAGGTCACTGAGGTAGCTCTCGTCTCGGAGGACCAGTCGATAGATACTTTCATAAGGCACAAATCCCTCTGGCAGCTCCACGTTTATGCACGGATTAACAATTGGCACGCGGCACCAGAACGACGATTCATCCATGAAATCTGTGGCGTAGTCACCCTGAGCTTTCCGCTTACTTCCCATCCTGGTGGCCTTCTGCCCCGCGTGACGACGAAGGGAAGCAAGTCTCACGTTGAGAAAACCCGCAGACGCGGGACGGACGCGCCTTCTCAAACACGTCTGCAATTTTTTTTACAGAACGATCCTTTTACATACAGCCGAAAAACTCTCCCGCCAACAAAACCCTTTTTCCGTTTCCCCAAAAGCCCATGGAAACTAAACAGATAACAAGGAACGCATGTCAGTTCTGAAAGGTCAGTAGCTCTGTACGACACGGATGTTGGCAGTGTCTTCCAGGAACCACAGCAACCTCTGAATACATGGCTTGCACCGACATTACTTGGCCAGACACAATGGGGAAAGGGCACGTGAGAGCGTACCCTCCACTGCGTTAATTTTTCCACAAAAGGGGGCCATGGGCGACACAATGGGGCAAAGGCGGTGTGAGAGCTTAGCTTCCACTGCGTTAACTAGACGCTTTTGACCCCCAGAAAGGAGGGCGGGCTGACGCCACGTGCAAGCCATGTATAGACACTGGAAGAATGCAGTATCCACGAGATAACACGTTTGACGAACCTCTACGGGGAAGGGGTTTCGCTAGGTCGGAATCGTGCGACGACCGGTGTTTTTCGGTTTTAACCGGGGCGAAAATATCCAACCACCGGTGTTTTTCGGTTTTACCCGATTTTATATTTTCGTCACCGACGGATGTTTATCGGTGTTTTTCGGTTAAAACCGGAAAATACACACCCTACTTATCACGTTATCTACAACGTATAAACAACTAGAAGTAGGAGACAGGTGTACCTGACCCGCTAGGCCACATTCTCTAAAGCAAAATAATGTAGAAATGGGACAAGTTTGAGACTTAATTGTATCAATTGCAGTGTTTCGCACGTCGTATTTACCGACAGTTTCTCAGAGTACGAGAAGAAACACATTTGAACCAGCCAATTGCATGAAACTCAATAAGCGCAAGGATTACTTAGGACACCCCGCAAGAATCCATTTCGAGCTGCTTTCGATCGTGCATCGAGCCGGCAACATTAGAAAGTTTTCATAAATCGTTTCTGCCCGTCACGCTACAAGGTCCGAGACTTAGCAGACAAAACTAGCAGCGTGCATGCTCAGTAGTGGCGTCTGCGTTGCGGAAAGCCTGACGGAGGAAGAAAAGCGGTGCACGAGAACTCCTATTAGGGAGTTTTCTGAGTTTTCGTCGTCCACGACGAGGGACGGGGGAAGCGATCTACGAAAACTACCTAATGAGCCAAGGCTGAGAGTCTAGTCGGTGACAGGTTAAGAATTTTAAGGGAAGCTCCTCGCACTTCGTCTCACTTTAGCAGAGTGATAACTGGGGAGGCGATAACCTCCTCTCTAGCGTTCGCACTGCTATATTGGAAAGAGGTGGGAGAAGCTTCCCCAGAACTCTACTGTCACCGATCGTTGAGTGCTACAGATGTAGTCTGAGAAACCTGGGATTTGGAAACTAAAGCACCTCGCGTACCAACATAATTGCTAATTTCATTTAAGAAATTCTATTAATTACCATGCTTATTTTTCTCACTCAACTCGGGGGACATTTGAACGCACCAGCCAGGCAGTCTTGGGGGAGGGGGGGGGGGGGGGGGGGGGGGGGCGTGTGGCAGATGTGCACCTCATGAACGTTAACATTAAACAAATGCCGATAGAGCCTTTCACATAATAACGTAAGAAAGGAATAGAAAGAAAGACTGAAATTGAAAGCAACCACTACTGGGAACAAGCACAAGGCGACACTGCATTCTCCAAACAGGACACGCTTTCTATTATACACAGCTAATAAAGCGGGCACGCTTTATTAGCTGTGCATAAAGCGCCCCCCCCCCCCCTTTCCACTTAAAAAACAACAACAACGTAGTTTTGGGTGCGCGTGTACGTTTTCAGGAAGGACAGGAGCCACGCAAACAGCATGGCTTTCCTCCTAGTTGCTGTCGTTGACCCCGGTTGCTACCCCTCCCCCCTGCCCTCCCCTCCTCCTGGCTTTCGGCAGGTTAGGGACTGACAACAGCGGAGACCTTGACGGCCAGCCAGCAGAACGTGTGAGTGACTACGTTCAGGCTCATGTCGTGAGCGCGCTCAAGACTTTGCCCAAGGACGTAAGCCTGTCCGAACAGGACACCTTTTTTTTTTTAGTTGACAGCATTTTATGTACGGGATTGCGGGTCTTCCTCCAGTCCTAGTCCCCTTTAAAACAATTTTTCTTTTTTTTTTTTTCTTTTTTGCCGGGAGAAAGGTTATTGTTTGATTCCGTCCTTGGACAGAGGCTTGGAGGACGCTCATCGTGTGGGTTTGCACAGTCATTCACATGCTTTGCTGAATGTCAAGGCCACCGCTGCTAGTCTCAATCCCCAATCTCCCGAAAACAAGAAAGGGTGAGGAAACGACACCGATATGGTTAGGAGCAAAGACGTGTTGATGTCCTCACTAAAAAGCCTAACTCTTGCAGCAACAATCAGAATTGCTTTAACCAATGCGTTTCTTTTTCGAGGGGGGGGGGGGGGGGGGGTTGTTTGCCGTGTACGGCATTCACAGTGTTCTGTTTGACCAGCTCATAGGGGGAGGGTAATCCTCCGCTTCCGCTCCAACAAATGCTGTGCGCAGCAGTAAGCGTGTCTTGAACCCCTTCAGAAAGGTTCCGCTATGTCGCGGCACGTCCCTTCGGACGATGAAAGTACGAGTTTTGTCCCACCTCGAGAACAAAAACAATTTTGTCATTCACCAGGTAGTTTGTACTTTCGAGGAAAGATTGCGTAAAACGCTCCTTCGACGGACGGAATGTCACCCACACGTTCGGCATAACACTGTTGGCTCCATAGCGCCAGTACAAGTAGTTATCATTTCTTTGACTTATTAGTTTCAGAAACAGCACCGGCGAGATTGGTGTGTTCCAACCGGTGTCCTCAAAAAGCATACTGAACTCAAATCTGCAGACGCCCTCCTCGACTTTACATACTTGGCGCATATAGACCTGGGAACCATCAACGACAACTTGCCCAAAGGGTGTTCTCGCGACGAAGCACAGGGACCCGGATGCAGCAGCTGCCCTAACCTGCTTCTGGTCAATGTTATCGAAGACGAATATGTTCCTACGTGGACATCCAGGCGCAAAGGCGTCGTCAGATTGGAAGCCGGGAACAGCTAGGTTCCAGACGTCGAACTCCTCACGGCGAACACGGTCTTCAACGAGCGCGTTCAGCGTGTCCCGCGTGTTCATGATGACCTGGTTAATGTCTTCAGACCTCGTGTTTAAGTTGGTCACCAGAGATTCGGACCGTTTCAGTGCTTCCGCGCACTCGTACACTGATTTGAGGATAAGGTTGGAGCTATCTTGGACAGCAGACATTAACGAGTCTGCGCCGTTTATAGCGCTTGACGAACCTGGATTTTCACTGAATTCAGTATGACCGGAATTGACCTCTCGAAACACGCAGGTACTTTGCGCGTGATTCCACATCTCAGAGCGGAGGATGCGAGTTTTGCAAGAAGGGCAAGGCACAACGTGGAAGTCGCACCCTGCGAAGTGACTCTCCAGCTCGCATGCTGGGCCAACGAAGGTGCAACCGTTGCGCGAGTTTGTACAGCGCACCGATTTGTCGTCGAGGCTATTGTTAAAGTCGAAGGTCTGCGAAGATTCACGATCCACGATGGTTCCGTCTAGCGGACATTGTCGACTGTCCATCTCGATGACTCGTTTGTGACACTTTCCGCAAAAGGAGTGAAAACACTGTCCAGGCAGGTAAGATGACTTGGACACGACCCCGCAGAGGCTGCAGCACATGATCGCCGGCAACGGCCTTGTGAATTCTAGAGGCCTCCAGTCGAGGAAACTCGTGAAGCCCACCAGGATTGCCGCTTGAACCATGACTTCACCGCTCTCGCAATCTTCACCGTGGTGTGCAGCAAGTCAAGGCCGTCTGCTAGGCTGTCTGTCTCTGCGTTTTGATGTGGAAGCATTAAAAAGCTGCCTTAATAGGAGCTCGATTAAGTAGAACTACTGGCCAAGTACATTGATACACCAAAAATGCAACTGAGGCTAAAAATGCCACATTTTAACGCGATGACAATAATCCCAACACCTCAATGTAAACATGAAGATCAGTAAAAACGTAAACAGTATATTGACTTTTAAAAATTATTAGTGCTATACATTAGTTCCAAGGGTCACCCCTAACCGCACTTAAATCTGACAGAGGTTACACTAGCTGCAATTGTTCGGAGTTAGAGTAGACCAAACTGTGGCTAGCCTGAGACCATCCCATGCAAAAAATGGTCTATGGTCGTCTACGGAAAGTTCTATGTCAGGCTACCAGCCCCTATGGCCCTCTATGGTTGGCCATAGAAATCCTAAAAAACAGCTACAGCCAGCTATAGAAAAATCTATGGCTTAGTGTCTAAAGGCTGGGAATTAATACATTTTCGTTTCCCGTCTATAAAAAATTCTTAGTCACGTGTCTAAAGACTGGGAACCAATAAATTGTCTTTACCCGCCTATAGAAAATTCTATGACACTGAGTCTAAAGGCCGGGAACTAATCGATTTTCTTTACCCGCCAATAGAAAATTCTATGGCCCCGTGTCTAAAGACTGCTAACCAGCAAATTCTCTTTAGCCGTCCATAGAAAATTTTATGGCCCCGAGTCTAAAAATTCCTCCTCAATGCTCGCGGCGGCACCGGCGGTCGAACCGCCGCTGCCACCACGAACATATTCAATGGCGGTGAAGGCAACGTGAGGGCTTGGTTGCCGTCACGTAGAGCGATCCCACTACTGCCCATGCGCGGTGCTAGCGGAGGAAAAGCGGAGCTACGGAGGTTGGCGGAGGTACACTAGTTTAACAAAAAAGCGAGGCGCGAACATATGGCGTGATTCTCTCGCGAGAATCACGCCATATGTTCGAAGTTGACAGTTATGTGTTATTGTGTCTGTAGTGGATCTTAAAATTGTTGTATTTTTGTATATTTATTTTGTTTGTGTTCCTGTTTCTCCTCCGAGTGGTGTAAAAAAGGGGCTGGAGCCTCGTCAGAAGACAACTCGTCTTCTTTTACCCAGCCCCCAGACCCTTTTTTGTGTCTGAAATAAAAGATGGATACATACATACATATGTGCCCGCTTCGAGATCGCGGGTGTTCATGGAGGATGAAACCTCGCTGATGCGATAAGTACAGGTGGCGATTTATCACTGGCATGACATGTACGACCACTGTAGTCACGTTACTTGCTACATGACAAGTAGACATAACAACCCTGTGTATCCCTTGTCTCCTTTTGCGTTCGCACACCAAGATGTCTAACCAACACGCTCTCACCGATTCTATCTATAAAAAAAAGGACGGACAGACACGTAACTATTTTATCCTTAAAAGCCTCGTCCCACTAGAGCGACAAACCGATTTTTGTCCGGCGACACCACGTAGTTCCGTGTCGCTGATGCTGTCCCACTGCGACGACCAACACCCGCGACAAACGCCGACAGGCGCCGCCAATTCGATCGACGACGGACGGTTCTTGTCTGTCGTTGGACTTGAAGCGCAGCAAGCAGTCTCACCAAAGAACATCTCTCAGAGACGATATCCTCCTCGCCCGCTTGTACGCTCTGTTGACTCTCATCCCACCCTTCTACCCTTTCTCCCGTGGCTCGCTCAACACCTCCTAGAACAGGAGACCGTAGCGTTCTTCTCGTGACGTCACAAAGGAAGGCCATCGGGGGCGCGCGTCGAAGCGAAGGGAACAAGCGTGGATCGACCGTCGTAAGGCGCTTTTAATCCCATACGCGTGTCTTATAAGCTAAAATGAAAGAGGCACATTGCAACGGGTTTAGAAAATATTTTATTACACGGGCAAAATATTACACCGCTAAATATTCGGTACTAATTGACACGAGGTATCCGTATAAGACGTCTATAAAAAAATGGTGATTGTTTTGAGTCGAAAATATTGAGCCACGCAATTATTGCTACAGGAATGCATATTTCATACGGAAATACTTCGACAAAATGGCGAGACACGTAGTGATTGGACACCGCAAAACAGATCACAGTAAAAAATCAGTTAGACGTAGTCAACGCGGACACGGCTAAGCAAGTGTCACTTACGCTCATGTAAGCAATGTAATCGCGTGCAGTCATTGAAATTTTGCATTATACACCGGCCATGGCAGAATGAATGTAATTTCGATCGAATGAATATATGAGGTCGACAACTCAGCTTGCGACGCCCGTATAATCACTCAAGACCGCGAGCTGATTAAACCCCATATCATTTAATCAAAATATATTAACTTTTCTGTGTGGCAGGGGTAGTAAACTTACTATTTACAGTCTACTTCTCCCCTTGGGCTCGAGCTGCCTTAGAACAAAGTATAACTTATTTTGTATAAAGTAATACTATAACCTTAATACAGTTAAGATGCTAGTATAACGCGGTAAAGGCAATAAAATAACATTAGTATTATTACGAAGATGTGCGGCCGGCAGCGAATGACAATGACGCCTCCACTCAATGAGGTAGAAAGGATTTTATGGAAGCGCGAGGAGCTTGGCGCGTGATGGTCAGGCACGCCACTGCCCCAGCGCCGTTGCCTTCTTCGTCACATTACCCCACGTTTAAAGAGGACGACCCGGCCGATGAATGGTGGAAACACGAGAACAAAACAAACAAGCAAATTAGTCGTTAGTTGTTGATATAGCAGGAGTTTAGTCTGCCAGAATATGGCGACATTGTTACCTACTGTAGGTAAGCACAAAGTAGGATACGACGTTCCGCGGAAAGCCATTCTCGCAGACGAGAGACTCGTCGTCACCTTTTGTAATATTCGGGATGCAGTATTGTCCCCCAAAAAACACCTGCCCTCGATCATTAAAATAAGAAGTCTAAAACATCCTCAAAATCATCTTAAAATTTCGTGGCGCTCACATAGAATGCCTTGAACGACAGGAACGATTCGGGAATTCTAGTTCAGAAAAAGTTTGGTGTCGATTGTCACGACTCTTTGCGGAAAGTCGCCAACGCCAAATGAAGCCAAGCGGAAGCTTCATTCAAGAAATAAAGAAATCGTCTCCACTTTCACCGTGTTTGTCGGCGCGTTTTACGCTCAAAGAGCAAAACACGAAAACCGCGTCGCCAGACTGTTCGTCTGTGTATTTTGAAGTGTTTTGTTGACAACTCCAGTCCCACTAGAAAACAAGTTTCCTTGACCCCGTGTTCTGCGTTGCGTCCGCCAGGCGGGACGGCGGACTCGTCCGTCGCTCGTTGTCATGTGTCCCTGTCGTTTGTTGCTGTTTATCGCCCTAGTGGGACGACCAGCTCGCCTGCCTACTTGCTTTAACTTCAATGACAAGTGGGGCGCACAAAAAAAAATGAATCGTCGTAATCTTAGATTTTTTTGTGTGTGATTACGTTGCTGTTAAGATCGTTGCTCTATTCGAGTCTACCCGTCTCTACGTTCCTACCCCCGCTACCTCCGCGAGAAACATATACTCTTGAAATAAAGCGTACGCACTATACAGCGAAAGGTGATCCGTGCGGCGTTTATTTCAGTTCTGTGTAAAACAGAACAACATATCCAGTCGATAAGAACGAGCACTGCGTTGCGACAAGTGAATGCGTCCGACATACGTTGTATAGTCCCTCCACATCGAAACTACGCTCGCGGGAATACTCGTTTTTCAAAAACCATAGCCCCGCACAAGAAATGACAAATGACGATTCGGCGAAGGAACCAAGCAACGGATTCAGAAAACAAGGTCAACTAATCATTTGGGAAGAGTCCGCTTCGAAGGAAGTGTCGCACAGACATTCCATTCTAGTTGCGGGACGAAGTGGGGGAATGAGGGCGGATCGGCGGGCTTGAAGGAACGGATGATTCACCACTGCCGACAGTTCACCGCTGCTTTTTTAGTTTGCGCTGCGCTGCATCTCCTGTTGCATATCAAATACCGCACTCGCAAAAAAAAAAAAAAAAAGACTTGCATTTATCTGCCGGAGCAGCAACCACATGTGACAACACAGCGTCCTTCTCGAGGAGCTTCCAATCCGGCCGCCTACCGCGTATACCATTTAGAAGTGCCGCCGGGCTGCACTGTCCCCTGTGCGTGCCTGCATACCCTCGCCCCCATTATGGGGCCATTCTCGCCAAGATAATTGTGCCAAAAGCTGGAAACCCTAAGCAAGATGTGTCAGGAAGTATGGATGCTCATACACTAAAGTACGCAACGATACACTTGTCTATCTGCTTCCTCGTCCTTGTATTGTCTGCGCTTCTTTAGGTGACCATGAACCAACTGGACCCAATTGCTACCTCGATGCACATTACATGCTGCGACTTGTCGCGAGAGTTTTCTGCTACATTCTGCGTGTGCGTAGCAGTACGTGGTCTCTAATGGTAGAAATCTGCTGTTATCGAAGCGATCGAATTTAACCGTATGTTTTATTTGCACTGGCGCGCGTCACCGTTAATTAACCTTCTTAGCGCCTGGGGCAGAGATACACTCCTTTATAAAAAAGAGTCTATACTTACAAATATACATATCGAATGTCCGCTTCTGCTCATGGCGTCGGTAGAATCTAGAAAATCAAACCTGCGGCGCGTGCTGGCTCGAGCCAGCTTCCGTCATTCTCTTCGCAAGTTAGCGACGCAGATCAGGTACGGTAATATAAAAGATAAATAGAATTTTTTTGTGCGCACAACTTTACCGGGGTAGACATCGAAAAGTAGAACAAGGCGCACAAACGATGAGGACGCAAAGTAATAGAAAGACACAGGAGAAGCGCCGACTTTCAACTGATACGTTCAATTGAAAGGAGCAAGAAACAGCGATAAACAGCTTAATCATGGTGCAATCACCATGTGTCAAAGAAGGCAATCTCCTTCCAATGTAAATGAACCGATGTTTGCCTGACACATCGGCTCGCCCCTTCGTTTTTGATGGTCTAAGTTTAGAATCCCTCCGGCATTGATTCCCGCCGCTTCCAATGATGATGACGTTAATAAAGTTGAGGCGACACTCACAGTCTGCGCAGTGTAGAAGAAGGTGACTGCCCCCGCATGACGGCGACGTTTTGTTGTTATTTTTCGAACTTATTTGCGTGTTCGGAGCAGCGGTCCGCTGGCCGGGCGTCACTGGAAAGACCGCGGCCATCTTCGGGCCGGCGAGAACGCCTCCGTGCAAGGCCAGCCCCAGGGGTGGGCGACCTGGGCGGTGGCTCAGGGCGTCATCAATAGGGCGGCGCCGCCGAGCCCCCGTTTTGAAATTATTTTAGCTTCTTTATTTATTTGAACACAGCGCCCTCTTTTGGAATGCGGTTATCGTCTGACGAAACGCTCTAGTTTGGTTATTACTCACATGTATACTAACAACGTGATGCTATTCCTAGCAAATAGGGGCGTATAACAAAAAAAAAAAAAAAAAAAAAGAGACGGTGGGGGGAGGCGCCACTGCCGGAGTTCGCCCAGGGCGCTTGATGATGTAAGGCCGGGCCTGCTTCCATGGGCCGGGATTTGGAGACCCCTGTTCCAAACAGACCATGGCCAGACGGCTGCTATCTTTCCCAACAAATGTCGCCTGTTCATACGGCCAAAGATATGACGGCCCTTCTTTATGAGCAAGGAGGGGTGAGCCTTTGCATAATACCTAAAAGGGGTTTCCGGACATTTCATCGAACGCCGTTTCATCGAAAAATGTACGTTTCATCGAACGCCGTTTTATCGAATCGCTGATGGCCGTTTCATCGAATGCCTTATATAAAAAGTGTGAAGATGCTCTTTTATGCACGGATCGATGGCATTTTCGTGTCATTCACCCATTTCATCGTCAGGTTTTTTAATGTACAAACTTGTAGCTGTTACAATTTATTTTGCTGCAAGTAACCCATGAAGATATTTGTACCGATTTTTATGTTTGTTTCGCATATTGTGCTCATCTGTTCAACCCCTCTGTATTACGCGATGTTACTTGAGGGTATTGTAACAAATAATTAAAAAGCTGCACTGCCGGTAAGAGCGCACTCCAACTCATGGAGGCCAGAATGCGACTTAGGTTTTGCGCAGGCGCAACAACTTCAGCCCTGTGAGCTAAGGCCCTTACTGTGAGCCTCCTAGCCTCTCATGTCTTTCTTTTGATACTTTTTTACTGCCCGAAGCTTGCATTAGCTAAAGCTGATGTGCTATTTATGAAACTACAACGAAACATTGTTTTTTTTTTGTGTGTGTTTTTTTTTAGTTCTAAGACTCAATGAAGACAAAAGTAAGTACGTCACTTCAAAATTTTATTTGAAAACTTTCGGGGGTTCATGTGCTCGTGCGACAACCATTCACCGTTTCAAATTACGAGCAATTCCTCTCAAAAAATCCCCCCCCCCCCCCCGCCCCAGCCATGCTCCGTCGGTTTTTATAAAAAAGGCGGACCTTCTCATGCTATGGCCTTCTGCTGGCGAGGAGGCTCTTGGGAACTCAACATCGCCTCCAGCTTGCCTTCTGTCAGTTGATGTTCAGCGGCGATGCAAGTCAAAAACTTCCAGAACCCGGGATGGGCACCTCCGACCAGCTTTAGAAAGCGGGAATGCCACCCTAGCGTTCGGTAAGACGGCGTTCGATAAAACGGCGTTCGATGAAACGGCGTTCGATGAAACGGCGTTCGATGAAACGGCGTTCGATGAAACGGCGTTCGATGAAACGGCGTTCGATGAAACGGCTTCGATGAAACGGCTTCGATGAAACGGCTTCGATGAAACGGCTTCGACGAAACGGCGTTCGACGAAACGGCGTTCGACGAAACGGCGTTCGACGAAACGGCGTTCGATGAAATGTCCGGTCCCACCTAAAAGGTGCTGATTTAAACATAATTGAACATAAGTGGGGTCACACGAAAGTGAATCTCTCGAAACTTTTACTGGCCATCGCAAACGCCGAGGAACTTTGGAAAGCGATACTAAAGAGTGGCAGCGCGTTTAGACGATACGTCCTTCATGCAAGCCGCTTCGTTGCCTGCCAGAATGGAATACGTCATCCAAACCGGTGGTGCTACGACGCGCTAAATCACGCTACGTGCAAACGTGTTTGAACGGACAAGCGTCGAGGCACAAGTCTGCTTTGCTTCTCGGCACGGCTCGTGTATAGATTATCTTTTGTCCGAGCGTTATATTGGCAGGCGTCAATAAAAATGCCGTCTTCTTGTCGTCGTGAGCATTCGGTGCCTCGTTATGTTCCTCATTATCAGTTAGGTGACGCGCGATATGCAGGAGGCGGTCAGTAAAGTTCATAGATAAGAGCTTCTTACAAGTCAAATCTCTTGATACTTCTTTGAGAAGTAACGACCACCAATACAAATGACCAAGCACAATCCGCTGGAACAAAATGGCGGCATTCAGTCCAAACCTCTGCTGTGCGCCGCCATTTGCTACCTAAAACCTGCACCGTCACGCAGTCGGCGCCTCAAAGAATGTCGCTACTTCTAGGAAGCTCTTATCTAGGGACTTTAGTTCAGACTTCTGCTGTGCGCAGCCATTCGTTCCTAAACTCTGCACCGTCACACAGTCGGCGCTTCAAAAAATGTCGCTACTTGTAGGAAGCTCTTATCTAGAGACTTTACCTACAAGTAGTGACATTAGCTGCGTTCGATTTACCTGCATCTTCTGCACCGGTGCAGAAAAGTGTAGGGCGGTGTACCTTCGGTCGTACCTCAATACACACACCAGAAGTCCTACACTTTTCTGCACCGGTCCAGAAGGTGCAGGTAAATCGAACGCAGCTAGTCTTTAAAGCGTCGACTGCGTAACGGTGTAAGTTTTAGGAAGCGAATGAAGGCGCACAGCACAATACTGAACTGAATGACGCCATTTTGTTTCAGGGAAATGTGCTTTCTCATTTGTATTGGTTGTGGTTAGTTGTAACATGAAGTATCAGGGAACTTTAGCAGTCAGTGGTGAGGGGGAGGGGGGGGGGGGGGGTGGAGCCCCTTCCGCGCTGCCGTCCCTCCTGAAGTGACGGCAGCGCGGAAGGGGCTTCACCACTCTCTCCACTCGTTTGCGAATACGACATTCAAAAATGTGTTCACCACGCGCTCCTGTGTTCTCTTGCATATGGCTCACGATTACGAGTCAGCGGAGGACCATGTGATTTCCTTCAATGCACGAACTGAAGATAATCAATTTGCGAGCGACAGTGGCAAACTGCGGTTCGTTGCTGCGGTTAAAGGACCTGTAACTTGGGCATTGCATTGTTTCCATACTGCGAACGTGTGCCTGGAGGCCACAGGGGAGGTCCTGGGTACTGGGATTTGCGCGCTGTGTAAAACCACGGGGAAACTTCGGAGATCGAATTGGCCTATTTGAAAGTCCTACTATTGCGGAGGCAGCGGACGGGCATGACCTTTTGACTCGAGGCGTTTGAACGCGAAATGAGTGCGGAACAGCGTCCTTGCAGTACGAAGCGCGTAGTCGCGCAGCGGTGGCAATCAGTTCATCGAACGACGTTTCAATTGACACGCAATGTTTTTTCGACGGATTAGGGAGTTTACGTAGACCGCGTTTTCCCTCCGCGAAGCCCTCCGCACCGAGGAAGGCACTACTGCGGCTGCGCTCCGACGGCCTTGACTGTGCGTTGCGGGACAGCAAAAACGAGCTACGAAAACTGCTTAATGGGGAGTTGTAGTAGACCGTTTTTCCCCTCCGCTACGGTATCCCCGAAAAAAAAAAACGCCGCAGCTGCGCATGCGCGCGCCAGCCTTCTCTGCATAGTTCAAGGTAAATTGTGGCGGATTACGGAGCGCTATCCGGGTGCTTAGCGGGCTGCGGGAACGGTCTACTGCAATTCCCTATTGTTTCGACATATCGTTTCGTCGGCAGCTCAGATTCGATTTTTTTTTTTTTTTTTTCTGTAATACCCCGTTTTAGAGTGTCGCCGCGAAGCGACGTTTACGGGTGGGTTAACATTTTTGTAATGAAGCGACCCAGACCGCCGCCGGAGTCTGACAGTGCGATTGTTAAAAAGGAACCGCATGTAAGCGAGTTAGCAAGCGCTGAGACGAGCGACGGCGACAAAAGTCTGCGACGAGCTAAGAACATTTCTCACTGTCACTCGTCGCGTCGCTCCGTTTTTGGATTTCTAGAAAACGTCGCTTATCGCCTTAGTCGCTTTCATGCGGTTTGCCTCGTCACGCAAATGACCGGGGGACAGCAAAGCCGGTCGCCGTCGCTTGTCTCGTCGCTCGCCAAATCGCTTACATGCGGTTTATTCTTCATCACAAAAGCAGCATTATATTATTTTTCAATGGAAAAATCTGGCTCATACTTTGTCCAACGAGGATGTGGCTTCCACTGCAGTCTCAGCTTAGGGATGAACCGAGTATAGTTTGCAGCTTTCACCTCAATCACTCTGCATACTCGTGGCTCCGTCGGCCCCAATTTTCCCACTGAAAATTTCCGAAAACCGCTTGACATTTGAATGACATAAGGATGTATCGTGAATGTTTGCCGTCCGTACCGCTAGTGGTGGGCCAAGCGTCCGGCCCCCGATGTGCAATAAAATCACTCATTTTCCGCAAAAAAAAAAAAAAAAATGGAATTTTTTTTTTTTGGTGGTGGGGTTACGACGGGCTTGTCTAAAAATACTAAAAGAAATACAATAAAAATTAAAAAAAAATCAAAATCAAATTTGATCACTTTTTTTAATGTTAGTTTCGAAATATTTGTGCTTTCCGCACCACTGCTCCCCAAGAAATACACATTTTTCTGTCAGAAATCGACATGTTCAAAAGCAGAGAACGAGCGCGTCCATCTGTCTGAAGGTTGCTGGTGTGTTGTTCTCCGGTCAAAAGCGTGTCAACAAAATTAAAAGAGCAACCACAAGCCAACCATAAGCAGAATGCGAAACCTTACCGTGACTGACAACTGCTTCAGACTTCACAGCACTCGTCGAGACACCTCAAAACGTTCCACAGGCAAGCACAAACTTCGGATGCAAAGACCAAATAACCGCCCCCACTTCTAGCTTGCTCCGCTTGCTATTTCTAAAGCGTTTTCTCGAGTTCTTCGTGCCTGTCGGGATTGGATAGATGGTTCGATGTGTGGCTCCAGCGATAGCGTCTCAAGCCAATGAATTCAACGATAGCTTACGCCATCTAGAGCTGCGGCGGGCACTACAGAGAACCCGCCATGATCCAAAGGTCTCGATCGTCTCGATTCATCTGCTTCCTGCGAGCTAGTTGCCATTATGTGCGCTCGATTTGTCCTAGTTTCAGCGAGTGGTGTTCGCTTTAGCGAGCGATCCTTCATCAAACGGTATAACACATTCCTCCATCCAATAGTAATTTTAAAGGGGCACTGACACCCCTAAGGTCGTATTTTTGTTTTATTCACTAAAAAGATGCAAATTGCAGTCATAGACACGCAAAAAAAAAAACGAACGCATCGCGAAAAAAACTTTTTCGCGCGCGCGCGCGCCTTTTTATTTTTGGCGTTTGATTCTCCCACCTCTAGCCTCCTCGCTTCTTTTGATTCGTGACGTCAAGAATCATGAAATTTAGAAGCTTTGTAGGCGACATCTCTATAACGTTTAATAACGGCAATCCTAAAATGTTTTTTAACGCAATTGCGAACGCACTACGGCCCTTCTTTTTGAAATAGCAAAAATAGGGAGTTCGTTGTCGTGCCGTATCGTGGACTTGTATCCTCCCACGGAAAACAGGCGACACCGCTCAAAACCGGTCCGCCGGCGCTCGCTCCTTTCCTCCTCGCTTTGGGTCGCCATGGCAACAGCAGGGAGTCGTGAAAGAAAGTGGACTCTCAAGGCCCGTTCACACATCTGCGTTCGGAGCGATCACTATGCTTACGAACGAATGCAACCGCTGCGACTCCAACGACAACTGTGCGCGACGTGTACACACACATGCAACCGCATGCAACCACACGAATCAACAGCCAATAAGAAACAAGCTTCAGCTCTTCCTCCTAGCCAATAGGAAGCAACCCAGCTATGCTTACAAACACGGCGGACGGTTTCGTGCCCGACGCGGGGTAGCGGGGTCGTCACCGGAGCAGCCCGAGGTTTCGGCTACGGCGTACAGTCACGAAGATCTGCTGTGCGCCTACAATAGCTGTGTAAAGGCTGGTTCAGACATCTAAAACGAACCCGTTATCCGCGACTGCGTCCGTTGTGACCAGAGCGACCGGAACGATCGCTCTGCGCCGCGCGTACACTCCTGCTACCACTGCAACACGCGCAGCGGGTCGGCAGCACGGCGATCGCCTCTCCGTTGCCGTCAGCTGTTTCAGCGGTGCCTCCAAAAAGAAGGGGACGCGCTGCCACACAGTTGGGTAACAGAAAATAGACAGACCGTCTTCTATGACCTCAAGCTTTATTACTCTTTTTTTCAGGATACGCTTGCAGGGTAGTGCATTAAAAAAAAAGAAAAAGATGCAGTACGCCGTCTTGCACGATCACGACTTTAATACACGACTTTACCAACAGTACAAAACTCGCCACACGCCTTTTCTACGATTATAAAAGACGATGTAATCTTAGCAACGATATAGCAACGTAGAAATATAATTTGACAGACGATGCGAGCGTTCAGGATCGCTAACACTAATCACCTTTTTCGGGCGATGAAAACGAGTAAAAAATTCGCATCCTTTGTACGGTACGCACCAGTAATACCTTGAACTTGAGCACACGCAAGGAATTCGCAAAAAAAAAAAAATCCGGGTGATGTTTGAGGACACAAATGCTAAGAAAGCACCACTGTAGTCGAAGTAAGCAAACACGACGGCACGGGCGTTTCTGCTGTCTTGAGAGTGCCGCCACGAGATCGCCGCACAAGTAGGTGGATCTTCCCTTCTAGTACGTGCTGGGTTATCATAACGACACACGACGAAAATTCACAGTCAAGGATAGCGCTTTTACGGGGAACGATGACCGTTTACCACGCCGTCTATGTCGACGATCACCACCGACGTCATGTTTTCAAATAGAAGGAGCCTGGCACGACCGGCATGCAACGCGCGCGACCGAGCTCCTCGACCTGTGATTGGTCTGTCGCTCCCGCCGTTCCCGAACTATTCTAGTCACCATACCCGAACGTAACGAAAAAGTTCAGCCCGGCTCAACTCCTTGCGTTGCGAACGAACACGAACGAAACGACCGTTTGGCGTTTCGTTGCTATGGTAACTCGTCGTTCCAACCGGTTACATTCGTTCGTAAGCGTAGTGGTCGCTCCGAACGCAACTGTGTGAACGGGCCTTCAGGACTCCGCAATATTTGACGTCAACGCACCGGCGCGAATCGCGCGGGAACTTCGAATTCGGCATTTGGAAATTGTTTTTTTACTTCACAAATACTGAATTCCCAAATTTCAAAGGTAATGTCCCGGCATCGTTTTCAATCGTTTCGGATAATAAAAAAAAAAATGATCTTGATGTGTCAGTGCCCCTTTAAAGGAAGGTTTAAATCGCTTATTTTCGAGTACTTTCTACCAGACAAATGTAAAAACAATCCACCAACACTTCTAAAAATCGCCACTTCAAGATATCTGGTATGAAGGTGCGCGATAATGTGTTGAAACGACTAAGCGCGCTCCCTCAACAAAGAGATCCTGATTATATATATATATATATATATATAAAGAAACATGTACGGAAATATACGCAAATGTTCCAACTTCCAGCGGTACCCATACATGGCGTCAGCGTGCTCTCTCGTCGTCCTCAAAGTAAGGAGGGCTTTGTGGGACGAGCTTGTCCTGCTCAATGTACATTTTCTGAACTGAATTTGCCCTCCTGTTCTTAACCTGCGCCAAACACCACCTATTCTTTTTCACGATATATAGGGACCCTGTTTTCATTCCTTCGTGCAGGACCGGCACTGCACTATCAAGCGCCCCGGGCAAACTTTGGCCAAGGCTCCCCTCCGCCATCCCTTTGTTTCTATATGCCCCCTATCTACTAGGTGGGTTCCGGAAGAAATGTCCCCGGAAAAAACGTCTCCGGAAAGAATGTCCCCGGAAAGAAAGTCTTCAGAAAATACAGGGTGAAACAAGGAGACGGCAGGCTCTTTAAATCGACCGGAAAATTCGGTTTCTGAACCTATCGCGCTACGACTTAGTGCAGCGTTGCCCACAGATGGTGCTTTTTTTTTTTTGTAAAATTTGCAAAGAGCGAACTTACCTAAGGAAAAAGTAAAGAAAGAAAAAGGCTTAGCTCCTATGGAAACGCAGCAACGCCACCGGTCTGCAAACAACACGGCGCCGTTTCGCAGGGGAGACAAGGGATGGCGCAACGAAGACCGCCAACGAACGAGCATACGGCGCCGAGAGCCGGCACTTTAGCAGACGATCCTTTCGACTCAAAAGCGGCTCGCGTTCCGCAGGCGGCGACAGTCGCAGAAAAAAAACAAAAAAAAAACAGGCGCGGTAACAACAAGGAACTGCAATTCCTTGTCTGCTAAACACGCCGGCTCTCGGCGTCGTCTGCTCGTTCGTTAGCGGCACTTGGCGTCGTTAGGCGTCGCGATCGCTTGCGCCATCTCTTGTCTCCCGTGCGAAACGGCGCCGTGTTCTTTGCAGACCTGTGGCGTCGCTGCGTTTCCATAGGAGCTAAGCCTTTTTCTTTTGCAAATTTTACAAAAAAAAAAAAAAAAAAAAAAGCACCATCTGTGGGCAACGTTGCACTAATAGCGAGTTCGTTTCACGGCACTCGTGCCCACGCGTGCCCACTCGCAGCGTGGAACGGGTTCGTTTCAGCCGGCACTCCACGAGTGGTTGCACTCTCCGAGTTCGTTTCAGCGCTGATATTCCACGCGTGCATGCACCCGCTGCACCGAGAAAATCGGGAGTGCGCCAAAATGCAATCCCGTCATGCCTCGCTCCGGCGGGGCCGGCGAGGAGCGAGAGCAGGCGACGAGGGTTCGTCTGCTACGATGTGTCGCGGAACCGAACGGAACAAAAAGTAGATTTTCTGATAGAAATCGCGTCCCGCGGGCCACGAAATCAAACGCGAGCTTGAATTGTGAGCGTCTGCTATTTCCCGAAGCAAGCAATTGACAACCCGTGATTTATTTGCAGGTTTTAAATCGCTCTGTTGCCGTACAAACGCTGAAATATACCAGTGTGTAAAGAAATGCTCAGAACAAACGTAACAGCGGCCCCCGAGATGTCTATCATCATCCGTGTGCGGGTGGAAAATTTAATATTTGTCGGCAACACTCCCCCAGCAGAAACCTCTGTCTGCCCAATAAGCATCAGAGAAAGATAAAGATGGTAACTTTACCCGAGGATTGGGCAACATCATCATGTTTAACATTTACCTACGTCAGCTAACTTGCCCCGTCGTATTTTGTTCGAGAAAGCTCTCGTTCTTGACGCCCTCACCAAGGCTAATTTCTGATCCACCTATAATGACAATCCAAATCGAAAGTCCCAGTTTTGCTGGATATTCCAACAGGCTAGTTTTAAGCCGCACCCTTTCAGTGGTTCACGCATAATACCATGCTCAAACGGATCAAGCTTCTGCTCGGACAGCATCATCAGTTTTCTTCAGTGTAAACGGTTATAAGAATTGAAAGATCGTAACCAGCTGCTTTGTATAAAACTGGGTGCGAAAATTTACGCCGTATGTACCTATCTCTACGGCAGCCGAGCTGCTTGAAGTCATCGCAACTATAAACTACAGGTTGCAGCGACCACAGTTTGTAGATAAACATTGGTAGCCAACTGCATTCTCGCATTCCCACGCATCACTCTGAACAGAAAGGCGCTAGTTTCGGTTTGAAATCGGTACCTTTTCTACAACATAGATGGCGGCAACATCAGTCTTCTGCACGCGGTGCATTTGGCGAGTTCGTTTGAGTCCAGTTTTCCGTGCAACACTCTGTGAGTGCGATGCATTCTGGGAGAGAACTCGAACGGTGCCAGTGCGTGTGAAACGAACTCGCTATAAGTCGTAGCGCGATAGGTTAAGAAACCGAATTTTCCGGTCGATTTAAAGAGCCTGCCGTCTCCTTGTTTCACCCTGTATGTACTGTATGTCTCCGGAAAAAAGGACCCAGGTGGAAAGTAGGAAAAATGTCCCCAAAGGATTTTCTATCGCTGGGACTTCCCCGATTCACATGGCCTTCGGGCGGTCCTGTCATTATCCGGCAAGGAGGTTAGAAGTACTAGGAGGGGGCACGTTGCAATATTGGTGAAGCCTAGTCATAAAAAGTTTAAACGATTTTGTGCCCAGCGTGACCGCAGATCTGTCTGGCGATTGGTGCGCGTGATATGTCACGTGCGAGATGGATAATTGATTCTAGGAGGATCCTTGCAAGCTTGCGCGCGCTCCGTCCGGTAGTTTTATCAGGTCGAAGTCTAGACTGTGGTGTATTCTAGTACCCCACAGCAAGACGAAGTCTAGCTACGGTCACGTGAAGTGGTCACGTTGGCATGGTAAGTGTGGAGAGTAAGGAGGAAAATGAGAAAGAGGCGAGGCGTCAAGGGAGCATGGCTTGTGGAGGCTACGCGGCCGACGTCATGCCCTCTCCTACCCTTCTATTCTCCATGTTATCCGGTCACAAATGACCTCACCCATCTAGAGGTAGACAGGAAGACTGGAAGTCACACAAAGCAACCGAAGTGTTTGCCAAAACCAAATTATTGTTTTTTTTCTTTTCATTGTGAAATAAACATTTATAACACTTTTAGCCAAAACCAAATTATTGTGTTTGGGGAAATTTGAGACATACTTCTGTACTATTTCAAAATAGGTAAAAAGTGCGACACTGCTAGCAGGAACAAACGACCGCTAGTCATTTTTTTTTTTTTCTTTTTCTCGTAGAAACGAAAAGTTGTCAACAAAGTAACCATAGGTACTGAAAGCGCTCGTTTGGGGATATAACGCAGATGGTAAAATTTCGTTCCCACTAATACTCTAAGTAAAATGTGAAAATGCGCCAATGTCGTGCTTGCGCTAACAGCGTCGCGGTGTGTACCACGGAGAATCGTCTATTTCCTGATTTGTTGAGACCGTTTTTTCTTACTTGCCACAGGGAGCCTTTTTTCCCAAGGACATATGACCGGACCGCCCGAAGGCCATGAGGATCCGGGAAACCCAGAGACAAAGAATCCTTTAGGGACATTTTTTCCTACTTCCCACCTAAAGCTTTTTCTTTTTTTTGAGGGGGGGGGGGGGGGGCATTTTGTCCGGTGCCTTTTTTTCGGGGACATTTTTTCCTACACCCCTACTAGGTACGACACCACGTTGTGTGCAAACATGTGAGTCGTAGCCCAACAGGAATGTTTTGCCAGACGAGTACCGCATTCCAAAACGAACGGCAATCGAGCAGTTCAAATAAATAAAAAAACCTTAAAACAAATCATAAGGGGGGCACGGCGGCGCCCTTCTCTTGATGCCCCCCCCCCCCCGGGCGACCGCGTTATTGTGCTTCACCCCCGACCCTTTTGTAAACATCGGAGGGCATGCCTGCTGCAGTGGTACTCTTGCACGAGAGTTCACGTCAACAGTGCACGGGTTCAACGCTCTCGTGGCTGTTGCCTTGACTGTGCACAAAAAAAGTTTGTGACGTCAGGATTTTCCCCCTACAAACCATAAATTTACAACAGTATTCTTTTTCCTTTTTACTTGCACGTATTGCTCTTTAAAGTACTGTCAGCACTGTGGACACAAAAATAATGTCTAAAAAGATATACTATCATGTTCTATTTGTGCAAAGGCTCATATAACCAAAACTGCACACAACTTGTAAGGCATTCAATAAATAAGTACCGGGTGCCACTGAAAAAATATATGTTTTTCCATGTGCAAAAACAAATTCTGCTTTGCAAAACACTCAAGCTCAACCGCTATAGCAGTCTAAACCAGACACTAATGTTTCAGAACCTGCCGCGCTCCGATGAAAAAGTTAAAAGCGAATTTCGGCAATATTCAATGACAAAATGAGGCCAGTCTCCGGCAGCCGACAACAGTTATTTCCCTGTTGTCGCCGGCTCTGACGGACTCCATTTCCTCAATACAAATTTTCGAAAAATCGCTTCCAACTTTTTAATTAGATAACAGCAAATTCTGAAAGTTCGGCATTTGCAGTGGTTCCCACTGCTAGTGCTGCACATGGGCAGAATCTACGCATTCGGCGATACAGTTTTTCTTTTTATCTCGAAAACTTGGTACTTTGCTTCCCCAGTAGTGGTGAAGGGCACAAGAGCACTCCCCGGCAATCGGGGTAACGAAAATTGTCCATCGGCTGGCATTCTACTCTAGCTGGCATCATATTACGTTTCAGCCAAGGTTGCAAGAGCGAAAGGATGGGATCGTGGCTTACAAGGACACTTCCCAAAACAAAAATGTGGGCTATAAACAAAACAGTTCCTGCAACTCAAGTAGATGTGAATATCATGTAATATAAAGGCCCAGTAGTGTTGTGCTTTCCGACAAAGTGAGTATATTTCAACAAGCCAGGTTTACTGCATGTCAGTCCTACTTGTTTTGCACTAAACAGCACCAACAAAGAGAAGCAATCTGTAAATGTATGTCTCAACTGGACATAGGGGAGGCTATGCACGGATCGTGAGCAGAAACACAAGTCAGAAGTACCATTATCGTGATCTCAGAGGTTTAGTAGACCCGGTACTAACACCTAAAGAAAACACAATCTGAAGCACTTACAACCCATTTAATTTTGTCAAACCAAGAATTTGATCAGTTTGGAAGGTATTTGCATTTGTCGAGGCTTTTAAATCCCCAACTTGTTTTTTATTGTGGAACATATATTGTGAGGTTCTTCAGTCCCAGCATAGAAAGGTACCAATTACTCCTTTGGACAAAGCTGACAATACTCGCTAAACACAGCACATGTAAATTTTTCTCACAGAATTGTAGGCAATTTAACGAGCCATAGACAAATGCCCAGATATTGACAAATGTGCTGTCATTTAAGCGAATGTAGCAACAAAACAGGAGAGGCAAGCTTGATTAGCATATATCCACATTAAAGGAAGAGAAACACATATCTTCCTTCAAAATGCCACGCTGGGTTAAATGGGAACCCACGTCGCCTGAACAAAACGCAAATTTTCCACACAAGGACAGTATGACTGAGAACTGACAAAGTTTACACAAGGTGCATGATATAGAGCACTAGAATTTGACAAATAACGCCGACATTCTTGACTCATTGCCAAAGAGAAAATTGTTCGCCCCCACGAGTGAAATTTCTTACCTAACGTCGGGAGGTGAAGAACACTCCAGTATGTTACACCCTTCCACAATTACAATGTAAAAGAGAAAGGCGTCATGGCCAGTAGATTTGCCGAACACAAAGTAAAACAAGGGCACTCCCCATTTGTAGCACACAGTAGACAACGAGAAGCCCTGGTAAGAATGAGTCCACACAAATCCTAACATAAGAGAGCATCAATCGATCACCAGCCGCCCTTCAGAGGTGGTGATACATATCAAGAATATACCGAAATGGTTCATTTCGTGCCACGAAAGAGCACTTTTGACCAGACAAAACATTTTCGTTCAATTTCTCGGTGCGGGTGGACCGGGTGTTGCGCAGAATGATACGGGAAGTGCAGGCGAGGTCGCGCGGCTTATGATTGGCCCTGGCCGCACGCAGCTTTGGCTGCGCTCGGACGTGAGCTGGAACGCACTTGTAACTTTGGCTGTAGGCCAAGTAAGTACAGCTCTCTCAAATCTCTCATTTCATGGTGGCCGTAACACACGTCTTTGCCGACGCTGTTCGTTCTACCACGCTTGCGCAAATATTTTCCGGCAACTTCTTCGAGCCGGGTTTAACGATGTTGCTGAGAACCGCCAAAGCTTCGCCCTCCGTCAGGATGTGCCAGGACAACGGACCTTCGACAAACTCCACAGAAGTCAGTGTCAGGAATCTCAGCTCTGGCAGGAACGGCCTCATGATTTCTCGCAGCACGGCGGCATAAGACTCGTCGGTTTCTTGGGCACAGTTAGCGATCGCCCATGTGTAGACGCTCTCGATCACGTCATACTCGTTAAGGCAGAGCCGGGGGTGCTTCAGTATCCTGATGACGACGTCCCTCGATGCGGAGACGAACGCGCTCGACTCCAACACCTGATCGGCGTTCTCTTCCAAGAGCCTGTCGATGACGCTGTCGAACTTCATGATGCTTCCGTGCGTCATCGCATAGTCTAAGACATCGCACACGTTGGCTGGCTGCATTGCCTTTTGGATGAACATGTCGCAGGCTTCCACGAGCTTCGGCTCAATGTACTTCTGGGCGGCCGTTCGTGTGTGCAGCGCCTGCTTTATGTCGACGAAGGTTATTTGCTGGCTGTAGAGGTACCTGGAATGAGGGCAAATGTGACGCACACCTTATTCAAACTGCCGAAATGCTATACAGCCATGTCTTGTAAATATGTACACCTCTATTCCTCGTGAAAGCTTTCCATACTGTGAGTTGTCTATAGTAATGAGACAGAAATACATGTATTTACCTAGATTGTCCCCGAAAGTTTAGTCCATAAGCAGCGTATGTAAATTGTCTAATCATTTTCTTTGTTTACCTGTAAAATAAGTATATCTCGATTTTAAATAACAATTCAGTGCTTGGCACACTATGCAACCCTTATCCGGATAATGACGTGCCTCAGCATCCCATAAAATTGTTTATTGTATTGTTGGTGGCCCATGTTTTCTATTCCATACAGAACGAAAAAGGAAAGAAAATGCGACTTTGAATTCAGCTTTTGCACCTGAATTCACACAACTTTTAGTCAAGGTTCTTCATCACGTACAGAGGTGGCACACTAAAACTTCCACTTTGTTTTTTGCTTTGTGAGGAGGGAACCAATGAGAAATGAATGGCATGTAGAAATGTTATTGTGTCGTCTGCTCAGGTATCCTTATGAACGTAAAAACGATTCCAGGAAGCACTACAGTGGCCTGCACTTCGAGGCCAACCGGAAAGTCAATGAAGCTGCAGGGTCAGCGTGATGAGACTACATCAATTCTCCCAGCTCAGAGCCACAAAAGCGTGCAATTTAAACATTGCAACCTCAAGCAACAAACAACTAAGAAACGTAACTCAGGGCCAGAGTTACGGGACATGCTTGTGGTAGGGTGAGGGGGGGAGGACCTTTATATTTCCATCTTGATTTGCAAAGGGATGCAACGTCACAAACAAATTTAATGTGACAAACGGATGTATTGTTACCGACAAAAAAAAATACAATTTTACGAAGAATGAGGTTTTTCTTAGAAAAACCTCATTCTTCGTAGATCATTTTCTCAGTGCTGCCAACACAAAAACAAAAGCAAAATAGTTTCTAATGTGCATTGAAAAATTAATGGACTTGCAGCCGCACGCTGTAGTCTCAAGGCTTTTATTTCAGTCTCCATCTTTGTAACCTGCGGCATCCTCAGCGCCCGAATCTGACCGGTGTCAACAGTGGCCAGAGTTGCTCTTTTTAGCCATCCAGTAAGTGCCTTTTCTGGGTTTGTTTTAGCCATTTAGTCCATAGAATTTCGCCTAGACATCCGATTCAATGCTGTTGTCGAGCGGCTGCAGTGAGCCGACTCGGAACTGAAAGCGTACGCAGATCTTGTCAACACAGTATTCTTGACCTGTTGCACGTCGCCATACTGCGAAGTGGTTGGTACGAATAATACACAAAGAACTTTTAAAACTTACGTTGGGCCAGCTGAATGGACAATACCCACCACACACAAAAAATTACAGGACAGAAAACTGATGGTTGAGGCAAATTTGTAGAAACCAGAGGGGTGATTCTCCATGAATGCGATTGCATTTATCGTTGCACACTGCCAATGTGACGCACGTTGCACGCCGGCTACTGGCGACATGCGTGAACTACAGGGGGCGCTTCTGTAGCTATCATCATCATCGTTTGTGACGTCGCGGGTAGGATAGGATGCGCAAATCGTGGATACCTCGGCTCGTCAGCTCGCTAAATGTGCTGTTGGGGTAACGCGTGGCAAAGCCTGTTCTACAGGTTGTGTTTACTTGGTGAAGTGATATTTGCAGTAAGACATATTACCAAAGCTTGAAAATGTGGCACGCATAGTCGTGCTAAGAAACACTTTTAGCGCTGAGGTGTCGGAGCACTGGGATGGTGGTGTGCTATTCTCTACCCTAGTAAAAAAAAGCTGGATGATGAAAATAGAATATCCAGCGTTTTACCCTGCTACATCTACCATGGCAAATAGGGTGTTATGATTCAGACAAAATAAAACTGAGAACAAATGTCTCATCAAATTGGAACTAAGATGATTAAAACGTGCAGCACAAAGAGACAGGGCAGAACAGAAAAGACACAATCGCTGATTGTGTGTCTTCTCCCCTCAGTCAAAAGGGAAAGCGAAATTCGAGAACCTTACGTGTGTGCAGTAAACACTTCAGTGAAAGCGCATTCATGTATCCTGTTCGTTCCAATGTGTTGTGTGAGTGCTGGTCTCTTATAAATTCAAAGTTCCTTCCTTATTTTTTTTAATGTAAATTAGTAAACAAACTTTTTAAAATAGCTGGCTGAAGAAGCGGTGACTGGCTTCCGGGGTGCAAGCACAGTGAGCTGAAATGGTCTACTGTGCATAACTACTGCACATTAGAAGGCCAGAATATACATAGCTGAAAATCTTGAGTAGTGGCTTAATAATGCTACCACATTAAAACTATGTATTTTGTTCAGCTGACCCCTCATAAGCAATGAGCCAACAAGCTCAGCTTGGGCCAGTAACTTCTAAAGATCTTTTTTTCGAAATACTTTGGTCTAAATATGGGGTTTGCATCCCTTACACGAGTGTGACCCATACACGCAGTAATTCAATTTGTGCTTTTTTTGATAGAAAAAAAATTTGCCCCTGTGAATTTTGTTACTGCTCAGAATGCAAAGCACCGCACCTCGAAACCTCTCGACCTGGCATGCAAGTAACTGCACACACGTTTCTCTCATAATTTTTTAGGATATTTGTGTTCAGGAATCAAGATAAAGCTGTATGTACTGTTATTATCACTAGCCAGGGTCATCATTATGTAAAACGAAGCCCTAAACAAAAGCAAAAAAAGAAATAAAAAAATGTGGACAAAGGTTAAAAAGTTAAATATCTGCAAGAAAATTTAAAGTACACATTCTAATGTTACATACAAGGTGTCCCCCCCAAAAAAGTACATGTCTTTCTTCACTGCAAAAACAAGCCATGCATCGCTGAACGCTTAGTCTGCACCCAAATGTAGCACTAGAGGTCCAAACCAGACGCCAAAGCTTCAGCACTAACCGTTACACCTCATTAAAAAGTTACGTGATTTTCTGAAAATTTTCATGAGAAAATGGCGGCCAACAGAGCTCTCGAATACATGGTGCTCATGGTGCCACAAACGGAAAACAGGCAAAAAATGTGCCCTATTTTCCCATTGAAAGTTTCAAAAAGTCGCTCAAAACTTTTGAATAAGATATCCGCTCACTCGATTTTTAACTTTGGCGTTTACTTCGGACCTCTAGTGCTATATTTGGGCACAGAATGAGCGTTCGGCAATGCACATTTTATTTCTGCGATTAAAGAAAACACTGTAAATTTCTTTCTGGAACACCCTATGCATGCACATCTGGTTGAGTACAAATGTAAGAGCTACAAATATAAAAAAAAGAAACCCAATTTTTTTCAAATGTGGCAGGGACATCATTGAATATTAGTGATGGGCTGAACTTTTGCGGCGCCGAATCTTGGGATTCGGCAAAGCCGAACTTTTGCGGAACTATTCTAAAGATTCGGCAAAAATACATCGTTACCAGACTTAATTTTGATATTTCGTTATTTCTGTCGAAAAAAGGTTTTATGCTTCTTTTTTCTTAATTTAAATGCAACATGTAATGCATATTGACATAGTTATGACTAAATAAGGTGATGTTCTACAAGATAATTGTATCGGTGTCGTTTTTGTGTGTTTACTGGGAATTTTAGTGACTCCTTGCAGAAGTGGCGTGACAACAAGGTTGGGTAGAAGCAAGCGTGACGCAGTCACGAATCACGCTATGAGAGTTTCGGTTTTGAGGCATCATCAGAGCAAGCCTGCATGTGAGTGTACATTGTTAAAATGAAGGCAATAACACTGCGTTCTTGCTTTCTCTGGGAGTCACCGTTTTGTGCGCGAAAATGAATGCAACGGTTGCTGAGCCTTTACCAGAAAAGATAATATTATTGTAAATATGCATGTTTTTTCGATTTGAGTCACTTGACGTCAGCTTTGCATGAAAGTGTGCGTTCCATATTCACAACGTCTTGTTTTAACCTTTAAAATGCCAGTTTCTGGTGTTAGGACACACACAAACGTTTCGGAAGATAGGGAGAGTTGGGAATGTCGGATGTACAACATCGAGTATTTTAGTTTTCTGCAGATACATAGAAATTCCGAAATAACACTAATTGAAAAAGCAATATTATTTTGTTTTGGAACACACCACTCTTGAGCCGAAAACAGAATTGTTATAATTGCGCGGAGTGCTTTAAAGTAATTGTCGGCCAATGTTTGAATGTTTCAGAATGCACTGCATCATTTGTTACTTGCGCAGGGGACTGCGTAGATTGCTGGTCGATCTTCTATTCTTGAGGCAGAAAATATTGAAGAGAACCTCACCCACTCACAAACGCACAGTTACCGCGTTGCCTACTCCACACCTCGCCGTAACCGCTGGTTGTACTACGCCGCACGATGGTAACCGCACGACTGCACGGCGTCCATTTGCAATCCATAGCCCCGTCGCGTTCTCGCCCGTGCAGAGACATTTGCCGAATTTTTGCCAAATCTTTGCCAAACTTTCCTTCAAAAGTTCGGCATTTGCCGAACTTTGCCGAATCTGAAGTTTGGCAGATTCGGTCCATCACTAGTGAATATCCATACAAATAAAGAATAACCAAATCAGCAAATTGGCTGGAGTATAGTACAAAAGCTAACATGACGTGTCAACAAGATAGAGAGAATAGCAGCGTACGCCACAAGGACGGTGCACTCTTAACATAGCCGCTTCCCTGAAGGGAAGTAGTATGTACTCTTCCCCTTCAGGGGTGCGGTAAGCTACTCAATAATGTCTATGGAAAGAGCTTGGCAATTGACAAGGCCAGAAAAGTTTGAACTTGCACTGCAACCATGAAACAATAATGCGACATCCCTTGCTCAGAAATGCCGTGCAGATCTCATTTTTACTATAAACAATATTTTAGACTCCGTTGCAAATCAGACACGGCATGTAGGGTGGTATACGAGTAGGACCTAAGTTGCAGGCAGCGCATACACCAACTTGAAACGCAACCTTTCGTGCTTTTCTACCGCTAAACATCGTGTAAAACGCCAATTGCTGTCTATTTGGTGTGCTTTGCAAACCTCTGATGATTTATGAAGACAGAAAACTTCATGTTTGTACTTCACATAAAACGCTAAAATTTAGTGAGGAACGTAAATAAATACAAGTTAAGCTCATTCTCCGTCAAACCTTTATCAAAAGTGTTCATTGCTGAATAATAAAAAAGTAAAAATGACGTTACTACCTGCTATATATCTTAAAAGTGCAGGTTGTGACAACCTATCCAGCAGGGATGGGCAGTATTTCAAATACAAGTATTTGAAATACATATTTTAAATACTTTGTATATTTTGCATTTGTATTTAATTACGAATTGGGTAATGTATTTGACGTGTGTATGTAAATACTAAAACAAGGGTATTTCAAATACAATTGTAATTAAATACTATTTTGTGGGCGAAAATACATCCTTCAAATTTATTGGCACTGTCCAGAGCAGGAAGAAAACGACGCTCTGCACCGAAAGCAGTGTATCTCAATCAAGCACAAGCGTTCAGTGACTTTGTGATTACGGTGCTAGTCCAGGGCAAGAATAGTGACAAAATCGACGTTCACAGGCAGACTGGCTAAATAAGTGCCTGGGACAACTTGTGATGCTTTCAGCCTGATTTCCACCCATATTTTTGGCTCAAACATTCTAAATACGCAGGTCGTCCAGATTTTCGTAACTGGTGCGAGTTGCAACAATAAAAAATCCTCTAGCTAGTGCTGCGCGTCTTGGTCGTCTCGGTTCTTTGTTGGTCTATACCAAAATGTAATCGACAAAAAAAGCTGCTGCTTTAAGCTCTGTACTTTTTTCACCTATTACGTCCAAGCTGATTACATTATTTTTGTGATTATATTTCTATAACGTTACTAGAGCCTCGCACACTAACTCCCGAGTGTGCGATGCAAAATTAAAATGAGATACCCAGAAACCCGTTGCAGGTGCCCTGAAGTCGCTGACGCAAATTTTGAGGAATGTATTTGGAAAAGTACTTGGAGGAGACCAAATACATTTGGTTGTATTTGTATCTTGTACTTAAATGCTTTTTTGGAAATGTAATTAGATTTGTAATTAAATACATTTTTGACGAAGTATTTTGTATTTATATTTCAATACATATTTGCATGTATTTTGCCCATCCCTGCTATCTAGAAACATGTTGCATTAGACAAAATCAGAAAAACTATTTTCTTGAGCGACGTGAACTCGAAATACACACCGAGAGCCAAGTCTGACCCAATGACGGTTACGCATGCCGTTACTCTTGCGACACTACACGAGTAAACAACGAGGGCCCCCAGCCCGCAAGCACGTGAGATACAGAGCCACATCCTGTCGACCCACAGAGCTGTAGAGCTACCCCAAAAATCACCTTTGTCTTCGTTGTGGATTAGATTTTTCACGTGTGCAAGCCCCTCCTCTGGGACCATTACTCCCCCCTCCCCCTCCCCTCTCCTCTCCCTCCCTCCCTCCCTGCCCCCTTCCAAGCTGACAAACAGCAGAAGTTAAGTGTTTTTTGGCCCAGTCAACAATTGGTGTTGCGCGACGTAATTACACTTTCTGCCCCCCCCCCCCCCCCCTCCCTCCCTCCCTCCCTCCCTCCCTCCCTCCCTCCCTCCTCCTCTCCCTCTCCCTCTCCCCCCCCCCCCCCCCCCACGGGACGGTGGGTTTAGGAAAGAAAAAGTGGGCAACTGACATGCTTATGTGCCCTCTCACTGGAGTTTGTCACATAATAATGTATCGTGCATAAAAAAAAAAACTTTTCTTCTTCTTTTTGTGGCGTTCTTCAGAAATGCATAAAACATATTGTTTTTGTTTTTATTGGTTGGGAGATTGTGGGGCCCCCTTTTGTGGCTGCGTGGTCCTGGTGCCAGCGCCAGGGCTCAACACAGCCGCCTTGGCTGCCCATGCCAAGTGCCAGCCCTGTCACTAGCCATTACCTGAGGAACGTAGAAAATCCGTCTGGGTCCAAGTCGGTGATGCGAACCTGATCCCCCTCTGGCAGATTTCCATAGAACATGGATTCGAAGACCTCGTTTCGCATGGCGAGGACCATTTTGTGGGCCCGGACGCTTCGAGGGGAGTCGTCGAAACCGTGCTCTACCAGGAACTCCACATCCGTGTGCATTCCCCTCGTGAGGAAGCTGAGGTCGTCCCTCAGCGGCCCTTCGCCCTCTGCAGTGACCGGTTTCTCGACCTGAAAAGGGCGATACACCAGTTTTATTGCTCTTAGTAAATACCGCTTAGATAAAGACAATAGTAACCTATGCTCCACGTACGCGCTACTTTTCTTTATGCAATGCCAGTTGCAGAAATAATCCCGGAAAAACGAGCTGCCTTCACTCCCTCAACTCGCATCCAGAATGAGCGGCCAAGTGATCTGGAGCCAATTATATGTGCCGCCAATGTTTATCATAGCCGAACACTGGGGTTGGTAAAGGTAGGAAGCTAGCAATGGAGATGGGAGAACCGAAGCTATCCCCTGCCTATCTCAAATTGTCAGCGACCGTAGTTATAACTCGCGCACCATCAACATACGGGGTGTTTCTTTGCAAGCTTTACAGGTTTGTTTAAAAAAAAAGTGAAAGCCCTGTAACGTCGAATTTGAGTGGAGCTCTTGAGGAGGAGGAGGGAAGGGTACGTGACCTTGGGGGGTCACGTGACGATGCCTGATGACGTCATCATTGACGATAACAATGCGGATACCGATGACGTCATCAGTGATGATGACGATGCCGGTGACGTCTTAAGTGACGTCACGGATGACGTCATCAGCGATGATGACGATGACGATGCGGATGCCGATGACGTCATCAGTGATGATGACGATGACGATGCGGATGCCGGTGACGTCATCAGTGACGTCACTGTTGACGTCATCAGTGACGATGACGTCATCGCATCGTCATCAGTGATGATGACGATGACGATGTGGATGACGGTGACGTCATCTGTGACGTCACTGATGTCGTCATCAGTGACGATGACGTCATCGGGGGGTCACGTGACCTCGGGGGAGGGGAGTCACATGGCCTCAGTGGGGTCACGTGGCCTCAGGGGGTCACGTGGCCTTAGGGGGTAACGTGACCTGAGGGGGTCACTTGACCTAAGGGGTCACTTGACCGAAGGGGTCACGTGACCTGGGGGTGGGTCACGTGACCTCGGGGGGGTAACGTGACCTCGCGGTTACGCCGACGCCACTCAAGCCGGAAACGGGCCCCTAAGAGCTGCGCTCTAAAAAGCCGTTAGAGCTACACTTATGCAGTTTGTGCAGGTAACGTATGCAGCAAGGGGGACATAATATATGGGACTAATTATAACAATCAGACAGCTAATTAAGTAAAATTTGTAAATTAACTTTATAATTAGTAAAAATAGACATATGGTTCCAATTACAGTGATGCGATTGGTCGTAGCCATTTTGGAGCAGCTATTGAAGCAGCCAAAAGTTCATTTTGGAGAAGCAAAAAAAGCTTTCGGAACATAGCCGCACATTTCATTTTCATTTATATCACTGCAAATGTGAGGGGGAGAGGCTGCAAATATTAGGAGAACGAACACTAGCTGCTTAGTTGCATGTGGAAGCACCAAACACGGTAACAAGAAGACGACTGATGAAAAACAGCGCAAAATGCCGTGAATGATTATTTTGAAATACGAAATCCCACTGAACAAATGTTAAAATACAATAACTTTGAGCACCTAGATTTATGTGTACTTCAAATTCTAGGGGGGGAGGGGGGCAGGTTGTAACAAAACTGCAATTCTTAATTTAGACAAAAAACGAAGCATAACAAATGAACCTACAAAAGAGTCCATGTATACCTTCTTACACCTCGTCTCGCTCTAAAGGAGTACCTTTCCCCTTAGCACAGAGGTGTGCTGCAGCGAAGCAAGACATGCAACATTGCGACGCCCAGGTCACAATTGTCATTAAACTAACTAACCCACCAGAAAAGACCACGAGACTTATTGCGAAACTTCCAAGTACTGTCAGTGCTTGGTGCGAAATCAAACCAAATAGTATGTTATTTGAGGTGATCATCTAAAGTCCTGACAACCCGCACGAACCTACCCTACCTATGAGGCTTGGTAGCGAGGCCTGCAGCTGTTATATTTTCAGTATTTTTTAACTTAAGTTCTGGAGCAATGTTGGTGCAATTTCCTCAAATGTTGGTCAAACGTAGCAGGGTGTAGCAGGGTAAGCACTTTGGCACAGTTTGGTGTAACAGTCACATTACTGCAATCAGAAACTTGCTGAGCAGCATCCAAAACCACTACATCTATAAGTTTTTTTATAATTTGAGCGCGTGGGAGCGTAATAGTGCTCTAAAGGTAAAAATCATGCAGCAAGTACTAGGCTAAGGCTATAATAAGAGATGGAAAAATTGCAGCAGGTACAAGGCTACCCGCGCCTTAATGCACGGGTAGCCTTGTACCTGCTGCATGAATGGCACCTTTAGCACACTACTGTGCTTCTCACACCCTCAAAGTCTTACTGAAAATTAACGATTTTCGATGACGCTCAGCAAGATTCCAATTGGAACCATGTCTAATTTAACTAATAAAAATGTTATTTAACGAATTTCAATTAATTAGCTGACTGATCGTTACGATGAGCCAACTACACAGTGATGTGATTGGCCTAAGCCGTTTTGGAGCACCTTCTGGAGCAGCCAAAACAGAGTTTTGGAGCAGCAAAACTGGCTTTTGGAGCAGCTAAAACAGTGTTTCGGAGCAGCGAAAGTTGCTTTTAGAGCAGATATTCTTAGAAAAAAAAAAAAGATTAATTTCAAGTGGTGTACAAACGAAGGACACATGGCTCGCCGCTATCAACTAATTATTGTCAAGATAGACAACCTGGGAGTCTTTCAACATGTAACTGAAATGCCAATGACATGACACATTTGCAATGCTTCAGTTAAATGATACAAATATATCGGACCAAACTGCACGGCTGGTACCCAGCACGCTAGCGTCGGAGCGTCCGCACACGCCCACGTCTATCACTGAAATGTTTTTTTGTTTTTTTAAAGACGCGAGAGGAGAGACGGGGAGAAAAGCCATGCAAGACCGGATGAACGATTGATGCAGGGTACCTTGTATCGGACGGCTGCTTGCACCACCTAGCTCATGTGTGCTCAATTACGGTACTCAGTTTAGTTTCGGTTTTCAAAGGCGACCAAAATTGGTTCTTTGGTGCAGGCTTGGCGCAGATTACCCATATTTTGGCGAAATGTAGCAGGATGTAGCAGGGTTAGCCCAATGGCGCAGTTTGGCGCAATTGGCGCAGCAATCACATCACCGAACTACACTATCTCCCCTTATTATAACTCACCTCCATAAACCATATAAATGTAGCTTTTACAACCTTTTTTTTACAAATCTGTAAAGCTTAAAAAAATAAAAAAAAGCTGTATATCGAGTGGACTACGGCACCTTTTTCAGGGCTGGGGACATGGCGTCCCTCCTAGCCATCCGAACGGCCTTGTGGATCTTTCTGTTGCCCACTGCGCCTGGCACGGGTAGGCCAGACATGGCCCCTTGCCGAACGAGGATGCTGCCGAAGCAAGCCGAGGCCAGAAGTGACTCGGGACGGTGGCTCGCCCTGGCGCAGATGCCCAGTGACGGTGGGTCTACCTCCTTCAACCACCAGTTCGAGGTGGCAAAGTGCCACCTCGAAACGCCAGGCGTGGCGGCCTCCAACCTGGGAGCTGCGCGTGAATTAAAAAAAGTAAAGTTTTACACGGGCTAAAAGAAGAGCTCCGGCGAAACTTTGGTAGGCATGACCTGCAAAAGATTAGTTCAACACATTAACAGACACATCTGAACTAGTAACCCAATTTACAAACAATAACTTTTTTTTTGGAAAGTTGTTGAATTTCTACATTTTATTTGAAAGGGTTTATTAACATTACTAAAATTGAGACCTAAAATGTTGTAATTGGGGGCAAGAAAGCTTGTTCCTGGCGGGTTACAAGTTTGATAGTGTGAAGTGAAAGCTGCGGAAGCTTATGCCAGCAAAAACAGGAATTTACAAAATAATGTGTTTCGTGACTGCCTTCTGTCTAAAGAGTTCTTTAGACATTTTCTCAAGGTCTATGTGATGTCTACTTTGAATACCAAACTTCCTGCACATGATGAATACATGTGCAGGAAGTGACAGTAAGGTCCGTATCATACCACTGAAACACAATTTGTGAAAACTGATTTTGTGTAAATCTTTGCATGGACAAACATCTCGTGAAAACTCACTTCATGAACAGGTGCTCGTGCACCGTTCGGTCAACATCTTTCTTTTACCAAGCGCACAATCAAATTAGGAAGCCGCTAAAGGCTAATGCATGATTCACCGTCGTGTTTACCTAGGCTTTGCACTCCCCCTCCCTCCTCTCTCTTCCTCGGTAAACCAGGCGAGACACAAAAAGTTTGTTGCGAGAACAGCAGGGTAGTGCTCAACGAAACATGACAAGGTGCGTCGACGAAACTAATCCGAGAAGCCTTCCGACTGAACGACACATTGTTCGACGAACTAACTGCCGCAGGTGCGCAGGGTGTGGATATACGAGCTGGCCCAGCAGCGTTCAGGCCGGGGTGGCACACACACCATGCGGGAATCCCCGGGTATGTTAAAACCGTTCCTAATGCGGTTGGGATGGACTGCTACATTTCCTGTTGCAACGTGGCAGTCAGCTTCATGCCTTAGCATACTGGAGGCACCCCATACAGCATTTTACGCCTGTCGGCTATACTCCGTTGCACTCTAAATCCGACCACAGCCAATGCTGCGATCCGACTGAACCAGTCAAGTGGCGCTGAAAGTACATCGTCACAGCATTCGTCGTCTTTGTGCGTCTGCCATAACTGGATAAACCAATCGTGCACAAAAAAAAAAGCGCAGGATCACAGCACATTCACTGCATGGGTCTGGTTCGGATGGTGATGACAAGCACACGGATGAGTGCCACGATTCACTTTTGGCAATGCCTGATCGGCATTGCCGTATTGTAGTGTCGACTGTGATCAGAGCGAAGCGGAGTATAGCGCTTAACTCGGGCAGCTCAGATTGCCATCGACTGTACCTCACTTGTGCCCAAATAAGAAATGCCGGGCTTATTTGTGAGCCAGGGGTCTGCAGATTGGCAGGGTCCAAGTCACCGCCCCAGCTGAGATCACGATTTCTTTCGTGGAGCCTTTTTTTCCCCTCAACGAAACGGACTTTGTGATTTCGGAGCATTCAGTTCCGATGCCTCGCTTCGCTGGCTTGTGAAAGGCTGAGTTCTTGCGAAACGCCACGCAGACATTTACAGCAGCCCGATACCCGGGTTACCTACGACGGGTTGACTGAAAAGCGATGAGACCGAGTTTTTAAAATTCAGAATTGGCCGACTCTACAAACTCTCATTATTTCATATATATTTTTTTCAAGGTAGCATTTTTCACATTCAATATATTAATTTGAATGTTTCAAAAACCACTCAAAGGTAAAAATGTTTTGCAGTAGCACGTTCAGCATTGCAGCCGCGACTGCAATACAATCTTGAGCAAGCACCTACTCAAATACGGAGATAATAGTGCAAAACTGGGGGATGGACACTCCTTAAGTCAACAATATGTTAAGATATGTCCTTTGTTCATTTTCCAAATGTTACAAAATTCAGGGGCGAGCGCTTACTGTGGAATGGGCAGATGCTCGGTATTTTATGCACGTTTACTTCATCGTATAAAGGGAACTTCCTTCCAAGCTGTTCTTTTTTCTTTTTCTTTCAGCGCTGAAAATGCCCAGAATTGATAGGGCAATAAGTCTGGGTTATATGTAGAGCATTACAGTGCAGTTAACACTTTTTCAAGGTTAACGCGAAATTCACCAACGCTCCTTTGCTCTACTCTCACAAGCAACTTTTGTCATTCAACAAGACGTGTACGAGGTGCCGTCACTCTCTGCGACAGGACATTAAAGACAATCGTGGTCCAACTGCAGGTTCAGACACGTGTAAGTATTCCAAAGAAAAACGGAAGCATTCTCGTTACTTCTACATTACCCCTCCTATACCTGAAGAGATAATAAAATTGAGATCAATTTGTGTTAGATGAATTTTGGACGCCAGTTTACTCAAGTTCAAAGTCCCGGTTGAATTGAGCTTGAACACATGCTGTCCTTTCTCCCAAAGAAAGCCTTCCTTCGTGGCTGAAAGCTTGTTGTTGACATTCCAGTAAGTGGAACCACTTTTATCACCCCAAATAAACGCATTTGTGTATCGATGAACTGCAAATTAAACTTCAGCACCAAGTTCTTTAAGTTGACGAACAAAGAGGTAGCCATTCTACTAAGTATGCTCCTACCACCGCTCTACTTCATTTCACCCAAGTCCAGATGCAGTTGAGGCTGAGAGTCGATGGGACCGATCTGTCAAAAGTGGATCATCCTGGTGTTTGTCATGTTTGTGTGTGTCCTTTCATTGCTGAACCGATAAACAGTAAAAGCCTAGTGACTTGCACTTTTTACGCTGCTCAATTGGTCCCATTACCTGGTGGCAAGGACTGTGTCAAACAGGAAGTGAAGAGCAATAAAAGCAGTAATTCATTTATTTACTCCTTTAGGGTACATACCCACAAGCACTGAGGCACTGTAGAAACGAGTGGGAAATAAAAACAAACAACAAATGTAGCTAAGACATGCAAGTGATACGCAACACAGAAATTACACGTCCCAGAAAAACAAAGCAATTAAAATAAAATTTACGTTGAGTTGACACAAAGAAATGCGAACAAGTATTGGCAAAAACAGAAATAATCATATATATAGGGTGCGCACATTGGATCTTTCAAAGTAAAACAAGCCGGACAAATCAGCACCTCCACATACGAAGTTCAAACATTCACCAAATGTGCCTAGAGGTCTTGTATATTCTCTAGATAAATAGGTGCAGTTCACTCCCGGTAAAAATTAGACCAACAAACTTACCGAAGTCAATGTGGAAGTGTTGGCAGCCGACTGAGGTAAAAAAGGATGCAACTTGTTCGCAGACGATCGAAAAAGCGAGCAGACGACACACACTGTTGTCTGCTAGCTGCGCCTACCAAGGGATGGCGCCACAAGTTACATTCACTGCTAATTTGTCCGTCTGCGTACACGTCTGTGTTGACATCGGCAAGTTTATTGGTCCGATATTTTATAGGAAGAGAACTACGCCATGGAGTTTTAGGAGGTAGACGTCAGCACCACAATGCACATTCAGTGAAAACTTGAAACGCAATTCCAGTTTGTTTACAATACATAGTAAGAAAACAATGCAGTTCTCTTTAGTACCGACCAAAAAGAGAGCACGCCAAATATTTCAGTCCAATTTCGCTTAAAAGTGGAATAAACTGGCAAACAAGGGCTGATGTGAGCGAAATTACCAAATTCTGCTAATCTTAGCAATCAGGCACAGTGTGACCAACGGTGCAGTCAATACCGCCGTGTCTGCGCAGCCCACCCTGGACTATCTACGTCATGCTCAGGGCGCTCGGAGAGAGGTTCGCTTATTTCATACTTTTTCAAGCAAAGCTTACGGGCGGCGCTAGCGGCGTGCTTGTCGTTGGCCATGCGATTCGCCGAATGCAGGTGCTCCCGTGCGAGCATATGCCATCTCCGGCAGTGACCCTCGCGTGTGAGAAAGTCAGTTTGTGACGTTGAGCACAGCATACTTCTACAAACCCGTCGTGACATAATCACGTCTGGTTCACTGAACTTCACTTTCTACCATTTTTTTTCAAAACAAGCCCTTAGGAAAGCTTGCCTTCTGCGCTCAAACCCGAGCTGCAGCCGCAGGCGTCGTCAGGTGCAGCAGACAGCTGACCGTAGCAGACTACACTTTCACCCTTCCGCCGAGTTGCGTACAGCCGCCCGGTACGCGAGTCAAGATTTGTACCAAGTGGTTACAGATGTCAGAGCACGGAGGCAACAACACGGCGGCAAAATTGCCCGCCGAAGGCAAGGTTTTCGTTTTGGGGAAGGCTTTAAATGAAGATTGGTGAAAAATAGGATGCCCTCTTACAGATATTACAAACACAATCAGCCATGGACTGAAATTTCTTGGAATTGATTGGAGTTGCCCTTTAAGCGTTTCATGCGCCGGCACCAATTTTTCTGGCCGTTTAATACCGTAAGCTTCTCTGTATTCACCCCGTAGATGCAACATTTGCGAGAAGATAGTTGCAGACATCTAACACTCCCGAAATGAAGTAATAAAAATAATTTTAAAAAAAATTCTGAGGACACCCAAGCGGTTACGAGCTGCGAACGTAAAAGCATTAATGTCCGCTCCCTTAGTTCATCTGCAAATGCACTGGCGTGGACGGCCACATTTCGCTACTACCGAGGTTACAGCTGCCGACGATATAAATGCTTCAGGCACCGCCATGTTCGTTGGCGCCGAGAGGAGCAGAAGCAGTTGCAGTGCCAAAAGACCATCCTGGCTCGCTGGTGACTGCTGCGCTGCTGGGTGAGGCAGCGGCGCAAGTCAAAGCTCGGCGCGACGACCCACGCCTATTCCTCCCGCTATAGGCTGGCTCCTTACCAACCACGACGCCGCTGCTACGGGGCCAGCGACGCGCCGCAGCCAATGGGAATTTATGGCTTGTTTCGATGCTCAAACAATGCCGGCTGCCCTCCATGGGACAGTTAATGCTTTTGCATTCAAAAAAGTGAGTAGCAAAGAAAGGGTGCCGATTTATGATGAAAAGTGACACAAGGGCAACCACTAGGCACCGCAATAAAATGAATGGCGTCGTAAAAATAGGCATACCAGTAAACTACACAAAGTAGCCAAAGATGTGCCTGCCCGACAACGAAATCAACAAAATCACTCAAAAAGGAGCACATCACGGCCGAAGGGACGAAGCAGAGATCAGACGGAACGTATTTGTTGCGTAAGACCTTTACTACACGGAAGCTCTCTACCAAATTGGAAAACTTTATAGTGAGCTAAATTTTAATTAAAAAAAGTACAAATGCAAAAAACACAAATAGTTTCACGAGCATTGCTTTAACCCTTTAACCGTTTTGTACGAGCCTAGCCCGTCCACGTGGAGCCGTCCTGAAACCAATCATGACGAATTAAGGCTCGTCTGCTGTCCACACACGCAACCCTTTTGCACGAACCAGGCTCGCTCGTGGTTTAGTTTGCAGCTCTAATTACAAATAACAGCACCGCATCTTTTTTTCGTAAATTTTGCTTCTTTTTTGTTTGTAGCTAGAAATTTGATTTCAAAGAAAACAATTAAGCCATTGAGAGTCATAAATTCCAGAAAAAACTAAAAACGGTTAAAGGGTGAAATTACGAAAATTGTAGAACCCCAATTCAAATTCCCACCCACCCCTAAACCCCTGAGGTTCGCACCCAGCACGCTACTCCTCAGCCATCCTGTACCACTCCTCGCCCATCCTCTTGTATTGGTTGACCACCCTCAGAATCTCCAACTTGGCGGCTCTCTGCAGGTGGGGAGGGATCTTCTCCAGCGCATAGCAGATGTAAAGGATGAAGGCATCGTCGGGTTTTGTCACGTCCAGGTGCAGACGCTCGCAGATGTCATCCTTCCGCCTTGCGCACTCTTCGACCGCGCCACGTATGGCGGCCTCGAAGTCGGCCTCGGTGGGCATCGTGGGCCTCTGAGGCGGCACCTCTCGGGTCGCTGGCAGCCCCGGCTCGTCCTACGGGAAGAGCCGATCGCCCGTCACACTTTGCTCAAAAAACTTACAATGCTTACCGTAATATCCCCAGGGATAGCCCACCTAAAATCGCTGGCAAATGGGATGAAAATAAGGGGTTGGCTAACTTTCGATGTGCCATAGAAAAAAGATGAAAAGAAAAATGCTCGTTTTAGATTTTATGATCTTCGAAACTTGTGATTGCAGAAACAGGCGATGAACCAAAGACGACTGTCCTTCCCAGTCAGCAACGTTCGGCTTGTCTGCCGCCGTAGTTAAGTAGCACCGCCTTTGCCGAGGCCACCGTTGTTCAGGGCCCTGCAATTATCAGAAGCGGGCCGTCTTGCGGCGTTTCAGAAAAAATAGCAAATCCTGCCAAACATAGGGGGCGGGCCATCTTTCGGGGGTTGGGCATCTCGCGGGATATTACGGTAGGCTTTTAATGTCGCAAAATGCAGCGTGTGCCACGCTCTGACCTAGAAAACCGTAAACAAACTAATAATGCTTATTCGTCAGATCTATAAAAGAAGGAAACTACAGCGCGAAGTACATCTAAACGTGAAATACATAACCGGTCTTCGTTTGGAAAAAATAATCTGAAATGCGACCAAAAGAACTAAGCGTCGGTCTACCAATGTACGAACTGGACAAAATGGAAAACAATGTCTGGAAAGTTGGGGTAAATATGCTCGACGTTCCTGATTGAGGAACCTACAGTCCCGGAGAATGTGCAATGCCATTAACGAACCCCTGCAGTTCTCACGAGGCAGAACGTCTTAACCACAAAGAAGGTGTCGACGAGTCCAACACGAATGTCGGATTCTCGAGTGGTACACCGAGACTGGGGCAGTTTGTAAGACTGAAAATAAAGGTTACCATATTTTTTAATGTACAGAACAACACACCGTTTACAAAAAAGTCAGCTTTTGGCCACATAAGGTGTGGGCACTGCGCATGCGCAGGACCCATATTCATGTGAGGCAAAGCCTCTGCGGAAGCGCCATGACGGCAACAATGTCACCCTAGCGGCGTGACGTGGGGGCTGCGTATTAGTGTATAAGTATAGCAGTTTTTCCTAAAAAGTTTCCATGGGGGTGTCTTACAGAACATTGTCATTTATATGCATTTTACTTTTTTTGTCAGCAAGTACACACATTCACTGCCGAAATTTGTCACGGGGGTTATGCATCCTGTTAGGTACATCGGCGAGGGTATCTGAAACAGGCTCGCACTTGCGCATATATCGCGATCGCAAAACGCACGTGCGGGCTCATCGATGCAGTCTTACCGCACCCACTGCACATATATATATATCGTCAAAATGCCGGCAGAACGCTAACCCCACTTTTACTGAAAAATGCCCCAAAAAAAAAAAAAAAAAAAAACAAATTTCTGCAAAAAATGTTGAGTTTGAAAAATGACATATTTACATCCACCAACATCTAGATAGTATTCGCAGAAATTTTCACTACTTTACACTGCATAGTTATTTTTTTATAAATTATTTTCTGTTCACCAAAGCTAAAGAAAGGGTAGGGTTTGGAGCACTTTGAATGCATTTTTCTCCGTTCCACTTTTCGGTATAAATTCTATTTCAGCCAATGTATCGTTTGATAGTGGCAATGCAGGGAAGGCTCGTTCTTCACTTTTCCTGACTGAAATTTAATAAGGAGTGCGGCTATGGAAGTTTTTTGTCACTTTACGAATGTCTTTTATAAAAAAAATGTTGACATTGTGTCGAAGACACAGAAGACCAAAAAGTTGACCAATTTCGCAGAAGAGAAAATTAATAGAAATAAATGACTTTTTACAATAATCTTTCCATAGCCGCACCTCCTAGGCATTCTGCTACATATCAAGCAAATAAAAATCTTGAATATTGTGATAATTTTCCGACGATAGATTAACTAAACAAAGTAGGCATGTTGTTGCTAGAAGCTGCTCTAATTTCATTCCCACCTCACCGACAGACCTGAAATTGTGTTATGCACCCTCTAGCATGACCACCAGCGTACCCTGTAAATTTAATTAATTTTAAGACAAGGGTTCAAAGGTTGACTCTCCCAGGGGGTGTGTCCTCTTAATCCAGACATGGCCGCTTGTCTGGTCAAATCGGGCACTAAACATATAATTTTTAGAATTTCCAATTTTTGGAAATGTTGACGGTGGGCGCTCGAATGAAGTGGGCGCTTCCACGGTATTTTACAGTAAATGTAACTTATGTATAAACCTTTTATGAAGAAAACCATTGTTTAAGGGGGCCGCGAGTTAGACCGCAAATTATGCTAATGTGTCCGACGTCGCTGAAGAGGCCACACAGCCTTGAAACGTCCCGCAATTTTCACTCCACCTAAGTCGCGACTTAGGTGGAGTGCCATTTTCGTCCTGCATCGTACTCCCGAGTCCGTTTTGTTGGCAAATCGGTCTTTAATCCTACCGATCAAAGTCGGAAAATGCAAAGTCGCACACACATTTTATTTTTAAAGATTTTTTCCGAGCTCAAGAGACGCTCCGAGTTTGCTGTAAAACGGGTACAGATCTAGTGGAGTGTTGGGACTTGACGTCGCATTGTCGAGTCGTGTGACGCCGTCGCACAGTGACGTCAGCAGACAACGTGACATGGTTGATGTCCAGCGGCCACCGTTGTGCAGACGTCACGCTAAATCAACACTGTCCGTTAACTTTGGTGGACTTTATGCACTTTCGCGTGGTGTCGTTTCATGCTTTCCTCGGACGTCGCAGCCCTTAAACATTCCACATCAAAAGTGACGTAGAAATACTCTACAGTCGTGATCGAAAGAACTGCTAGACACAGTGGCACATATGTTTTCCTATGCAATAGTACGTCGGACACGCTAGCGGCGATGGCGGGCTCAAGATAGACTCGGTTCAGCAACACAATCTTCATAAAGTCAGAGGGTTCAAAGTAGCCGACGATTTATATGTTGCCACATGCTTTGACGCCACCACGAGGTAAAACCTGCGACTGCAGTGACTGGTAGTCTGATCACCGCACAGCCAAAATGGTACATGCACACGGAAGAATGTTAAGACTTAAAAAAAAAAAAAGCGAAAATGTGGTTGGTGAGAACATTACATGGATGGACTCCATGTAGCCACTGTCTGGGTCCACAGGCTCGCCATATGCATCTCTTTGGGAACCGAAGGTGTCCATCAGTAAATCTGCACACGAAAAAAAAAAGAAAAGAATAAGTGCTGAAAAGATATACAAAATGGCGGAAGTAACAGATGACAAAAGTGAATGCTACCTTCCTCATTTAAAAATGGTTCATTCGGAACGAACACAGTTAACACGAACGAGAGATTGCTAGCTATTCTTTAAATGTGACTGACGGCATTCCTCCAAGGGATGGTTTTGCCCGTGAGGCACGTTCTGCCGATTCTCGCTGGAAGTATCAGTCTTTTTACTTTCTCCAACCACACACGAACAAGGGCTCGTGCCTCTATGTTTAGGCTCTGAGCTGTGGGACTTGTCCTTGGGAGCTGACCCTTTGGCATCCTTGGGAGGGTGGTTCTGCCCGTCCAATTGGTCGAGTGTGTTGCAACCTGTACCCAATGGGATTCTAACTACACCCTGATTGGTTGGGACCCAGGTTTCGGCGCACTGACATAACCAGTGTTGCCAGATTGGGCTATATATAGCCAAATTGGGCTACATTTTTTTCTAGTTGGCGTCAAAATTTCGTGGTTGGCTATGTGGCTATTTTTGGGCTATTCCTAAGGGTGCGGCGAACTCTTGTCGAACCTCAGGTTCGAAGTCGAACTTTGAGGTTCGACTAGTTAATTTTCAAACTTCTAATCAGTTTCGAGAAAAAAATGTTTTTTTTTTTTTTTTTGGCTAGTCAAGAGGAGAGAGAGGAGGGAGAATGGCTTCAAACTTCTACAAACTTCGGGGTTTTCAAAATGCGCAGTGAAGCAATGCTAGCAGAATTCAAGTGGTCTCCCCACAGCGCATTGGAACAAATTTAACAATAGATTGCACTATTACTATTACACAAACAGATTGCACTATTACCACAGGCCCGGTAGCGCGTCTTCTACCCTGACGAAGACTGAACTCTCCAAACGCAGCTTTGGTGCCCATTGTGAAAATTCTTAGGCATCGCCCACTTTAAGAGAAGAAACACTATAAAAAATAGCGTCAACCGGAACGGGGGACGCTCATATTCTGCACAAAGAAAAATAGGCGGGTGGGTTATTGGTAAGAACCTTAGATATAGGGGGTTCTGGTTTGAAACTCCCAGTTCTAAGTGTTTGCTTCTGCATTCTGTTCTTTTACTGTATGATCATATCTCCCGGGCTTCACAATACAGCTATCCGTGTATGTTTTCTACTTCTGAAAACCTACGAAGGATGGGTCATTGTTTCACAAATTTTCATCCTTCTGAAACTCTTTTTTTTATCAGGGAACTTAATGTACACAAAAAGTGGCGCATCTGAGGGTTGAAAAAGAGATTGTAACGTGTTGTTTTTTACGCGTATGAAAAATTGTCAATAAAAGGCTTAAAAATTTTTGTTTTTAGTCTTGGCTATTTTGGGCTATATTTATTTTATGGCTTTGGCTATATTTGGGCTATAGCTCCCAGCCGTTTGGCGCTTTTTTGGTGGGACCATCTGGCAACACTGGACATAACCCCCCACCGGATAAAAATGGTCAAGTTTGAACTGGCCCGACTGGCCCGGTAGTTCTCTCCCGCGGTTCGCCAGGTTAGGCCTCATTCACACAGCCAGCGCCTCTCCCATCCCGGCACTGTCACGGGAGCACGCCGGGGCGGGGACGCGACGGCAGGGTGTCTGAACAGGCCGCGCAAGCAAAGCGACAGCAGGATTGGATGGATCGGATTGCTCATTTATTCAACCTAATTACAAAATAAAGAGATAATTGCACCTGAACACTAGTGCGCACGTTTCTTTTTTTCTAAATTAAAGATATGCGTCTGTTATTAGCTATTCCCGCCGAGAGGAACAAGAAAAACAACACAACAAGCGTTGGCTGACTGTTGGCAACTGAATGATAAAAAATCTTCCAAGCTTAGCGAAACTTTTATATTTTGTGATTGGTCAGTTTTCGATGGGGGCGGGACTCCGTCATCGGCCGGTGCCGTAGAGCAGCTCCCTGCGTCGCCTGGTGCATCACAGCTTTCCGACGAACACCGAGAAGGAAATCCTCTCCCCTGACGTGAACGCCCCTTGCGACGGTGATGGGATGGGAGAAACGCCGGCTGTGTGAATGAGGCCTTACTTGTGGCGTAAGCGATAGTCCCTGCTCTGCGGCCTAGCTGCCGTCCTCACCGTGGGCGGGAAGACACCTACATCCAATTTGGTAACTGCTTAACTACATATGTAAGCCGTGCGAGAAAGTTAGTTACAGTTTTATTATTTGTACTGTCTTCGTGTAATTGTTTTATGCAGCAGTAAAGTTTATTTTTGTTTCCTGTGTTCCTCAGAATTTCGCCTCCAAGTCTGTAAACTCTCCACCGTCGGCCGCAACAAGTAGAAGTCTTCAATCCTAACCAGCATCTGGACCACCATCTTCCACAATCCGTTCCAAACCCCGACGCTAGACACACTCTAAGGTGCCCATCGAGGTTTAGGACACAAAACAATGTGATCTCTACTTGCACAAACCCAAGTGGTTAGCTTTTGTGTCTGTCTGGGAAAGATGCAAAAAAGCGGTGATGTTAGTTCCGCACAAACTGCATTATGCACTGTACGTTACTCCGAAAGAAACGTGAACAATTTTATAACCTTGGTACAACAATTTCAAAAGCTTGTTCCTGCTGCGAATTCTATGCATGCACCAGCTAGTGTTGCTGTTAAAAAAAAAACTAACAGACAGAAGTGCACAACATCCCTCAACTTTTACACAGTCTTAAATAACCCGGTGCATGGGGCAGCATAACCGCATGAGGACCATTTTGCTGGTCTAAAGTGGGTAGCACCACTGAAATGTCTAACAAACCTTGACAATGGTATACAGCTCTTGTTGCATTTGAAAATGTCACTTTGAACTGAGCACACTGGAGAAGGCTAACGAAGCTCAGCTTTGTAAGCCGATTGCAATCTAATACAGAAATGACGAAATGTTATTCTGCTAATTTACCGATAAGCACCATGTGGCTACGGGGCTTCGTTACAAATGTAAGCATAGAGCTCGTGTGTGGAAAAAACAATAATTTTCTTGCTCTGGCCGAAATGTTTAATGTAGAGCAAATCTGCTGACGGATGTCAAGAAAAACAATCTGTTTCCTTCCTTTTCATGGTCTGTTGCAGGTTAAAGGGACACTGACACCCCCCAAAAAGTTTTTTTCATTTTTTGCCAGGCGCTTCATTATGGTGTCGGAGGACTACCCAATTAATATTTTGCAACAGAGTAGCGTATTTTTTTAATAAAGCCAAAAGACGCAACTGCTCGAAACCGAAACCGAAACCCGACGGAGGTCGGAGAAGTGGAGAGAAGAGAGTGAGTGGCGGAAGTCACGTGGCTACACCCGACCTTGCCGCTTTTTGTTTTGTTTTTTTCTTCTCCTCTCCGTAGCAGACGACACGACATGCGGCATACGGGAACTGTTCGCCGTGGCGTGCGCTTCTTTTGCAGTTATGTTTGTTCCGCTCGTTGTTCTGTACTCCAAGATGAGTTGTTTTGTACATTGAGGAGTTGGAGATCAGTAGTGAGTGCTCGTGGTGAATTTCCATGGTCGGCTCCGAAAAGAATACACCCAAGATGTTGCGTGAAGAGCTGGCTCATATCTCCTGCGTCCGGAAAAAAAGGGCATTGTGCGACAGAGTTTCCGAAAGATCAACGGGATCGGGACCAATGGCGGGCTGCAATTAATGTAGAACATATACCGGCACCTCAGAAAGCGGACACTACCTGATTTATATGCTCCTTGCATTTTGTGGAAAGTGATTACATTGAGTTCGCAGGTGTCAAAAAGGAAATCCCATACCATTTAATTCAGCAAAGTATCGTCCACAACATTTGTTTGTTATTTTTTTGTTTGTTTCTTCAGTGATGATTGTAAAAAAAGAAAAAGATATGTAAACATCAGAAAATGTTTAAAAAGAAAAATAAACTTTCACGGGGGATCGAACCCGGTCCTACCGCGTGTGAACCGGACGTCTTTCCCACTGAGCTACTGGGGCATCACGTTTTTAGTGGATCTCTTTCCTTAGTAATAATTCAGCCGGTAAACTGTAAGTTGGAAAGTTTGCTGCCGATTTTCCTTTAGCAAAAGCACTACCGGGTCGAACTCGGGAAGCACCATGCATTGGCGACATTCGCACCTAGAAAAGAAATCGTACGCGTGCATATTCTTCTCGAAGTAGACACGTCGTGCTTGAAGTTTGCGCGAGCGATGTCTTCAGCCACGAGAAGGGAGCGACGTCTCGGCGACGTCTTCGTGCAAATCGGCTTGGTGGTCGGGCGTGTCGTACGGGATGAATACCAATTCTTTTGATCAGTCCCAAATTTCTCTTTTAAAAGTAGACAGAATTCGCCGGTACCGCGAACGACAGTTATGAAATAGAGGTCCCACGCCCGTCGTCCGCTGCCATCGCCGTTCCCGCGAGTCCCACGATACGCGAAACGACGAACGCACAGAATGCTTCCGGTAGTCTGTGGAACTTTTTTTTTTCAATCAACGTATTTGCAGCTTTTTAGAAGCCACAAAAAATGGGTTTCATATTTTTTTCTATTTTTAATATTGAGTGTGTGTTTTCAGTGACCCACGACTTTGATTAAATTTGGTTGTCGCATCGATACCTTAGAAAACGGCCCGTGACCGCGAAAAAGAGAGTGAGCGAGACTCGAACCGGCCAGTTCTTGATCGGCGGTTCTCGGGCGGAAAGAAACCGAATTTCGAGCCGCAAATTCTGTTCTGGGTAGTTGAGCTCTCATATGTCACGTACAACTAAAAACCTCGGCGAGCATAAATACCCTGTCAGTGTCCCTTTAAGAATAGCATGGCAAGCCTCTCCTACGAAGCTCTCTGCTCACTATGGTGGTTTCCTCCTCTCCTGCATTTACTCTGCTCAAAATGTAAAGGGTGGAGGGCTTTGTGGGAGGAAAATGTCCTGCATTTCTTTACCTACATTCTTTACATATGGTATGCATGCTTAGCTTGTTTGTGCATGATGGCCTCCTCGCCCCTCACTTTAATTATTCACAACAGCTGTATGGGGAAGAGCGCACAAATACTCACCTGTTAGTGTCTTGTGATGAAAGGAAACTTGCTTGTCGGGTTCAAATTCTGCCTTGCTGTACGTCCACCCAAAGCTGTTCCTGAGCAGCTGCAGGAACCGACAATGCAGCACTGGCAGTGGTGGATATTTTGGGGCTAATGGAAGAAACCAAAAGCATATTACACTGAAACTAAGAATCAATCATGCTTATTGTCGGCAGCGAGAAATACAGCACAATATTATCAGCAGTCAATTTGGCCATTTTGTCGAGGAACTTAAAACGGGTGCCATGCGAGCTTTCCGACATAATTGTACCCAACAACGCACAGGCCGCTGCTTTTCTTTAGCTTTGTTCAGTGTCGGGCTCACTTTTTCTGTCATGCCGGATTATGTAGTAAATCCGGAGTTAAGGTATAAATTACAAATACAAGTTTTATAAAATAAACAGTGGTGGAACTGCCAGGTGGCGATTAAGAGCAACTCTTGTCGCAGGGAACAAGAGGTTTTGGAGCAGAGATTCCCATTCTTGGAGCAGATAAGTATGACCTTTCATGTCAGAAAATTTTATACAATCTTGACAGTTATCCTGTGGAGAAAAACTGCAATTATTGATGTGTTGGGAGACTACTTAAAGTACCATACCTACAGGGGGTCTGGCCACTACAGATATTTACTTATTTATTGAACATTCATACTCGGGAAATTTTGCAGATGTCTCAATAAACCTATTAGGAGTACCGATGGCATCTTTGCTCTGTGCTTGATGTAATTGTCATGAGTTCGACATCAAACAGACATTTTTGTGCTGAATGTGTCTCACGCTGCTCTCTGCTTTGTAGTTAGGCATGTGCAAATAATGAATTTTGGGTTTGAAGCAAATTCAGAGTGTATAGTGGCTTTGGCCAAATATTTTTTAATTGAACATTGAATAGTTGTTGCACCTTTCTCTATGCTTTTCACTGCTGTTACACCACATGAAACGAAAATTCAGTTGAACTAGCAAAGGTTGTTCCCAAGCTTCTAAATGCCCATTAATGAGCTTTGTTAAATTTAATCTTGCTATATTTATAGACTGTAGCCTCAGAAAGTCCAATACCTACATTGGGATGGCAAGTAAACAAAACATTTGACATAAAATTAAACCTGTAAAGAAGCCAAGCCATACCAAATTGAGGGGATTTATAAATATTCTTGCTACATGCAACTTTTTTCTAAATAAAAAGGAAAAAAAAAAATTAGCACAAATGATGAACACAAGTTGTTAGAACATCGCTGCCTAACATATATACCCTTGCATAATAGCCATAATGAATTTTTTAAAGATTTTACTGCAATGTAAATATCAACAATCACAATGTTACCTCTTTTAATACACCAGGTATGCACGTGCACCATACCACTCTAATGTGTGTTTTTCGTCTAAGCGTGCAGCTGCAGAAGTGAGTCGCGAGATTGCGGTGTTAGCTCTGCGGGTATTGCTTCTCACCAGTGCATCAGTGCTTGAGGAGAAGGAAGCTAACCCGCCGCAGTCAACACTTCGAAAAGCACAAACATTGCAGTTAATTTTGAAGCGAATATCAAATAGCACATTTGAAACTAATACCTGAAAATCTGAATATTTGCACAAGCCTACTCTTCAGAATTAATACTGAAACATAAAAAAAACTGTACTTTTCTTTCTTTTTAGTAGCATCGCCAACAACGGCACATGGCAGACACTTTCAGTTTCCTCTCCCTTTTGGCACAGACATGGCACACATTTTGCACAAATACAGCCTTTGTAGCAGCAGGTAACAGGTTATTTGTTCTGGCAGATTGGCGCAGCAGTTCCACCACTGAATAAATTACAACAAGATTATGCTGCTAGACATCCCTAGGTGGAATATACATGGATGTAAGTTCACTACCCAGTATACAAGATCTACAAGAGCCCAACAATTCAGTAAAAATACTTGTGGTTCGAAATTGTCTTTTTTTCAGGAGTAAAACCGCCAGTTTGAGAACAACTTGCTCCGGTGCTTGCATTTGCTTGAATGGAGAACCAAGAAAATGCAAGCACAACATTGCAGCACTACTGGGCATTAATAGCTTGCATCATCTTTCTTGCATGTGTCATTTTTCTCACTTGCATGAGCACCATTTTTTGTGGAGTTCACTTAAACATATGAAAGCTCAGCAGCAAAAAGCAGCCCTCAAATATTGAAATGACAGTGCAAACGTGGTTTCTGCATGTACATTGCCCAATGGCATCGCTTGCTTCAATAGCCCCACTGGAAATGCAAGGACTTGCAATGACAATGTGCACTATGTTGCACATTGTCAACATTTAAAAATTGGCTTAACCGCTTTGATCCGTTTCCTTGTTCTGTTTTATCAGAGGAATAATGATGGAAGCTTATCCCCGACTCAACAACTTACGGCGTGCACTGGGGTATGCAAATGTAATGTGCCACGATCCAAGAAGATTGAAGCAAGCACGAAAACAAACTGAAATGCAAAATGACAATGTTGCTTTTTTTCAGAGCCAGTTTGTTTTGAGGAACCCAGTGCCAGCTCTAGTTTGATCTCCTCATGAATAGTTGCATGTAGTAAGACCTACGTCCCTTCGAATACCCCACAAGCCTTTTCATCATATTTGTGACGCCAAACGCACGGGTTTATGCACTCAGGGACACAAACACTTGATCGCCTATCTTTTGCCATTTTCCGGAACTGAGAAGTATCTTCTGCAAGGCATACATACATCATCAACTTCTACCAGTTTTGGGCAGTGAACCGACCGAGAAATGAGATCGAGTGACGACAGTGCATGCGCCACTCGGGCGTGCATCTCAAAGCACAAACGAGCGTTCCGTAAAGAGGCGATACTCACCCATGACAATCTTAGTCACATTCCAAGGACACTCCTGCCTTCCTTGGTCCCCGTAATCTATGCGGCGGACATTTCGCAGTCTGGGTACCACCCAACTTCGACAATCAACAGTTCTCCGAAGTGGGCGCCCGTCGCCGAAGCCGCTGTGTCCGACAGCATATCACGGATTCGCGACCGGCATTCATTGCGCGTGGACGTGCCTTCGTCCGCGGGCGATGCGTCTGTTGTTGGGGGTTGTTTCAAGCAAAGCTGAGGAGTTCGACACCCATCCAACTCCTCGCGTCGCTTACAGCGGGGAAGTTTGGTGCTTCCTATAATCTCCAACAGGACGAGGACTGCGGAGCATTGCTTTCAAATGCCTGGCGTCCAGTGTGCGCCCCCTGCCTCGTGTTGTGCGTCGACTGCACCTGGACGCCTGAGGTTTGCGAGATGCCGAAGCATGGTCAAAGGTAGGCGCACTCTCGCTAGAGGCAAGACAACAAAAGGACGTCCCTGCCTTTCTAATTCTATCATGACAACAGCAGTGGCGATTTGCCGCCGCAGGCGGTCGCACTAGCAGCAGTCGCTCTAGATGTAACCATCCTTAAAAGGGCCTTAAACCACAATCTGCCAGTTTATTTATGATCATGACTCAATTCATGGACCAAAAACATCCTAAAGAACCAAACACTACACTCGCGCGTTGCCGATTTCTGTATCAAAATCGGTATCAAAAGTCGATTACCTCCGAACTAGTGCATACAGCAGAGCGCACTCCGGTGTCTGCGACAGTTCCGAGGTAGTCAATCATTAATACTGATTTTAATAAAAACATCGGCCATGCACAAATGTAATCTTTATTGTTTTTTTTTTTTATGCTGCTTAGAGCTTGCATATTGAGTTACGTCCATAAATAGACCACTACCAAAAGTGGTTTGGTGGCCCTTTAAAGCGCATTCGACAGAAACATTTGAACTGCCCGTCGGCACTCAAGTGGGTGTTAGGAAGTTCCATAGAATGGCACACCCGACTGCTTTGCACACCCAGGGAAATAGTGTCGCTGTCGCTGCACATGTTCCGAACCCATACCGTGTTTTGAGCTTTGGGTTTGCACCAGTAACATCAGGAAGGGAAATTCCTCCGTTTTGTAGCCTCCCCATCTTCCAAACACTTACGATGCCCCTGGTTCGCAAGCTCGTTATCTGAACCAGCGTGGCTATCCAGACCGGTAAAGGGATTATGCCGAGCCTTTGAGCAATGTGCGACCGCGATTTCAAGCTGCTGCGGTGGCATTGCTGCCAGTGCAGTGCACGCACGGAAGCTATGCCTCGACCGAATCTGGTTTCTGCACACGCAGTGCCAACACCTGCCGTGGGCAAACGCGGATCTGTTTGTATACAGTGGGTCGGGCAATAGTCGGTAAAAATGTGAAAAATGCTGTACAAACCGTGCCTCCAACGTGTGCTCGTCGCCGACCATTGTGCTTTAGCTAACGAGGCTCCAAAGGCTCATCAAATAAAGAAAGCATCCGCCGGAAGCGGAGCTTGCGGTGCATCCTTACCCTCTCATCGACTAAAGTTGGTTTACCAAGTCGTGGATGGGGTTAGCCAGAACATAAACACAAACACATGTAAAGAGACTACACACGAAGAGGACACTGCAGTAAGTGCAGTTCTCACTAAACTTATCCGGAATGCGCAAAAGCCATCTTACCTGACGGGAGGACTATTCTGCGGCAGCCAAAGAAGTGTTTCACGACGCAGCGCTCAACCGAACAGCCCGAGCAGGGGAGGCCGCTTGCTCGACGGCAGCATCGTGGTCCATACTTCAGCTTAGGCGAATGGGTGGTTCATGCTTACAATTCACAGAGAACAAGAACACACTTCAAATGTTTACTCGCACAAAGAAAGAACACACACACTGTGCTGTGATAGAAGAAAGGAACATAAAGAAGTACAATACAAACCAGACTTGAGAGTCAGCACAGTGCGGGTGTTCTATCTTTGAGCGAATGAAATTTTTAAGCTTGACTGTCCTTGTCCGCTTTGAAGTGTAAGCAACATTGCGGCTTTACCGTGGGGAGCGCGACCATTTTGCTGGCCGGCCAATCTGCCTTTACCACCACCTTTCACCATGAAGATGTAGACTGTCCAAACGGTCAGCAATGGGACATTTCGATCAGTAAGCATTTAACATTTCTACCGCATGAGCCACCTAATAACCGACGACTTTGGCAGCGACCTGTGCACAGTAGGGAGGGGGTAGCACAAAGCGTGGATCGCCTCACAGGCTAAATTGCTGCGTCGTCCCTGGTCCGGCGGCAATTTCAGCTTTAAGCGAGCGTCCTCCAGTGCTCAGACTGTTCCACCAATTGCTTCATCACTGAGCAGTTCCACAGTTGCTACCAGGATAGCGCTCCCACGAGATGAGACACCATTCGCGTGTACCGGACAAGTTTGACTACCTCTGTACATCCACTTCCTCCTACTGCGAATCTGTGTACACATTAATGCGGGTCCGCATCGTTTCGTGAAAACCCTTTTCGCAAACAACTTTTCGCCAATGCACGCTTCATCGAGACTGGGCTAGTTTGATTAACCTACACCTCCCGCACCGGCTAGCCTATCTCAAAGCACATACCGGAAGTGCACTGCCCTGCGTTTTTTTGTGCTGTGCCACTTTTCTGCGCCGGTGTAGGCTGGCTAGAGCAGGTATCGACTCGCCAGGTTTCGCCGACAAAATCATTTTCTTTTTGCTAGCCAGACTGGCTTTACTTCGCTTGCTGGAAGTATACCGAGCAGCTCCGACACCTCAAGAAACGAACCTGCGAGCCCTAAATAAGTCTGGTTTGGCCAATACCCGCGAGAAGACAAGGCCCGCACGTTTTGTCGTCGTTAGTGGATCCGCGCCCGGCGGCCCGTCCCATGCGGCAGACATGCTAAGCTCGACGATAAATGTCACAAAAAGGCCGACGCAATAGCATGTGCTTGCGTCACAATCTTTGCAAGAATCTTCAAGACGCGCTGGTGGCAATGCTGATACAAGCTAGGCAGCGCTGCGTGGGGCCATTAATGATGACATTTGGGAGGGGGAAGCTCAGAACCAGTCTTCCGAGTGACATTGGTACGGCAGGCTAGACTTCAAAATTGATTGCGCTACCGCTGTGGGTTTGTGGGCCTATTTAAGGAGGTGTTCTGGAAAATAAATCTTTAGCTGCGTTCGGAGTTCGTGTCTGTCCATCTTTTTTTTTTTTTTTTTTGTCCCCTCGCCCCAGGGTTATTATATTTATCCTTAACCAGCTCGCCTACCTATTTGCTTTAACGGCTCACTTCGCTCCGGGAAAAGGTATTATGATCTCAGGCTACAGCTTGGGAAAGCATCGTCGAAACTTTTGAGCGTTCGGCAAGCTAGGCTACCACGACAATGAACACAAAAACAGGATTGACACGGTTACCCAGGAGCGGGGGAAAACGGGGCGGGCAACACAAAGGATGCCGCCGGCAAGGGCGATGTGCGCGAAAGAAAGCTTTCGAACAAACGTCGCAAGACGTCTCGATAAAACCAAAACGAGTGACTTTCGATGAAACGAACTGTCGATTAAAGATCGCATGCCAACGCAACGATCTGTCGATGAAACGTCGTTCACGGAACCGACAGTTAACGGCTTAAAAGTACCGCCAAACACGTGTGAACTCGTCCTCCAAACCAAACAAAACCTTGAGCTCAGGCTCAACGTGAACCAAGTTACCGTGTCTGATGACCGCAGCAGGCTGTATGGGTTTCCTCGGTGGACCGTAAAGTTTTAGATGTCAAATGAAATGACCACAAACTGTCGTCACTTGAACTTGCAGAAGACCCTTGCCAGTTGCCTGTCGTCCTGTCGTACTCGGGCGGGAGTGCGGGAGTGGTCGGAGGTGGCTTGATGAATGGATTGTAGTTGTGGTTACAGCCAGAAATCCGACAAATCCAGTAACGGATGGATAAATACGGTTGAGCCCTTTGGATCGGGCGGTAGCTTACGCCACCTAGCCATTTTGTTTTACCATGGCGGCAGCCGGCGCCATCTACCCGCAACCTTTCCCACTACTCCTAAATTTCATCTAATTTTTTTTTTTTTCGTTTAACGTTTGTATTTGTTTTTTTAATAGCGGGTTCGTTTCACGGCACTGGTGCCCACGCGTGCCCACTCGCAGCGTGGAACGGATTCGTTTCGGCCGGCACTCGACGAGTGGTTGCACTCACCGAGTTCGTTTCAGCGCTGACACCCCACGCGTGCATGCACTCGCTGCACCAGTGCGCTGCACCGAGAAAATCGGGAGTGCGCCAAAATGCAATCCCGTCATGCCTCGCTCCGGCGGGGCCGGTGAGGACTGGAACATGTATGGACTAGAGCATTATATAGCTTATAGCGAGTTCGTTTCACACGCACCGGCCCCGTTCGAGTTCTCTCCCAGAATGCAGCGCACTCGCAGAGTGTTGCACGGAGAACTGGACTCAAACGAACTCGCCAAATGCACCGAGTGCAGAAGACTGATGCTGCCGCCATCTATGTTGTAGAAAATGTACCGACCTCAAACCGAAACTAGAGCCTTTCTGTTCGGAGTGATGGGTGGGAATGCGAGAGTGCAGTCACTACCAACGTTTATCTACAAACGTTGAACGCTACAACCTGTAGTTTATAGTTGCGATGACCTCACGCAACTCGGCTGTCGTAGCTCTAGATAGTTACAGACGGCGAAAATTTCTGCACCCAGCTGTCTACAAAGCAGCTGGTTGCGATCTTTCAATCCTTATAACCGTTTACACTGAAGAAAACTGATGATGCTGTCCGAGCAGAAGCTTGATCCGTTTGAGCATGGTATTATGCGTGAACCACTGAAAGGGTACGGCTTAAAACTAGTCTGTTGGAATATCCAGCAAAACTTTTCGTGGGACTTTCGATTTCGATCGTCATTACAAGTGGATCAGATGTTAGCCTTGGTGAGGACGTCGAGAACGAGAGCTTTCTCGAACAAAATACGACGGGGCAAGTTAGCTGACGTAGGTAAATGTTAAACATGATGATGTTGCCCAAGCTTCGGGTAAAGTCACTGTTTAGATTTCTCTGATGCTTATTTGGTAGTCAGAGTTTTCTGCTGAGCCAGTTTTGCCGACAAATGTTCAATTTTTCACCCGCACACGGATGTTGATAAACATCTCGGGGGCCGCTGGTGCGTTTGTTCTGAGCTTTTCTTGACACACTGGTATAGTTCAGCGTCTGTACGGCAATAGAGCGACTTAAAACTGCAAATAAAGCACGGGTTGTCAATTGCTTCCTTCACGAAATAGCAGACGCTCACAATTCAAGCTCGCGTTTGATTCCGTTGCCCACGGGACGCGATTTCTATCAGAAAATCTACTTTTTTTCCTTTCGGTTCCGCGACACATCGAAGTAGACGAACCCTCGTCGTCTGCTCTCGCTCCTCGCCGGCCTCGCCGGAGCGAGGCATGACGGGATTGCATTCTGGCGCACGCTCGATTTTCTCGGTGCAGCGAGTGCATGCACGCGTGCGGTGCCTGCCACTGAAACGAACTCGGAGAGTGCAACTACTCGTGGAGTGCCTGCCGAAACGAACTCTCTTTACGCCGCGAGTGGGCACGCGTGGACACGAGTGCCGTGAAACGAACTCGCTATTATATAGTGCTCTAGTATGGACTGGAGCGAGAGCAGACGACGAGGGTTCGTCTGTTACGATCTGTCGCGGAACCGAAAGAAAAAAAAAAAGTAGATTTTCTGATAGAAATCGCGTCCCGCGGGCAACGAAATCAAAGCGAGTTTGAATTGTGAGCGTCTGCTATTTCACGAAGGAAGCAATTGACAACCCGTGATTTATTTGCAGGTTTTAAATCGCTCTGTTGCCGTACAAACGCTGAAATGTACCAGTGTGTAAAGAAATGCTCAGAACAAACGCAACAGCGGCCCCCGAGATGTCTATCACCATCCGTGTGTGGGTGAAAAATTTAACATTTGTCGACAAAAGTCCCCCAACAGAAACCTCCGACTGCCCAATAAGCATCAGAGAAAGCTAAAGATGCTGACTCTACCCGAGGATTGGGCAACATCATCATGTTTAACATTTACCTACGTCAGCTAACTTGCCCCGTCGTATTTTGTTCGAGAAAGCTCTCGTTCTCGACGCCCTCACCAAGGCTAATATCTAATCCACCTATAATGACGATCCAAATCGAAAGTCCCAGTTTTGCTGGATATTCCAACAGGCTAGTTTTAAGCCGTACCCTTTCAGTGGTTCACGCATAATACCATGCTCAAACGGATCTAGCTTCTGCTCGGACAGCATCATCAGTTTTCTTCAGTATAAACGGTTATAAGAATTGAAAGATCGCGACCAGCTGCTTTGTAGGCAGTTCGTTGCGGAAATTTACGCCGTCTGTGATTATCTCTACGGCAGGCGAGCTGCTTGAAGTCATCGCAACTATAAAAAACAGGTTGCAGCGACCAATGTTTGTAGATAAACGTTGGTAGCGACTGCATTCTCGCAGTCCCACGCATCACTCCGAACAGAAAGGCGCTAGTTTCGGTTTGAAGTCGGTACCTTTTCTACAACATAGATGGCGGCAGCATCAGTCTTCTGCACTCGGTGCAGTTCGTTTGAGTCCAGTTTTCCGTGCAACACTCCGTGAGTGCGATGCATTCTGGGAGAGAACTCGAACGGTGCCAGTGCGTGTGAAACGAACTCGCTATAACAGACACGTTTACTGCCCCAGTTTGAACCATTGGGTTAATGGGTTTCAGTATAAAAGCTCGCTATGGGCTTTTGTGCAAAAGCCCACAGCGAGAACCAGTGGCACCATGCACTGAACTATTTTTCAACACCTCGTGGTCGCTTGAAAAAAACGTTAATTTTCTCTCAACGGGGTATCCAATATGATCGCATGTAATGGAATGTGTAATGATTTATTTGGACATGGGATATCTTTGTACATACATGACGGCGTGCGAGGTTAGACACAAATATTACAGCCCCGCCTGCTACCCGGTCGAAACCAAAACCGAAAATGTGTAAAACATAAACTTGTAGGTAGGGTTTTCACAGATAAACTCATCACGTGAAAGCAAAGGAGGCGAGGGCGTCGGCAGATTTCAGGAGATGGGGGTGCGACTCAAGGTTGGAGGGAAAGGGAATTTCCGTTTTTATTCTCTCGATGATTTAATCCGAGTGAAACGAGGGGGTGGAATGCTGTCAAATCTGTTTAGTCTGGCGACCCCCCCCCCCCCCCTCCCCCAGTGGATCTTACCCTGTAAAACTAGCCGGAAAATTCGGCGCTTTGTCATGGAAAGCTCGAACTTTAACCGAAGGTGCGTTGACGTAGTCAGCTTTACGTTACATATTTTCAAGGTGGGGTTTTCTTCGCGTAAAAAATTAGGCCGACTAAGTTACCCATACACCAACTCATGATTACAAACAAACCGGAGCGCCCGGAGCGCCCCTAGCGGACGCCACCGGCGCCGCGCATGCGCGATGGGGGTATGGGCAAAACAGAGATCATACATACTAACTCGTGGAAATGGAGCGTGCTGGTTAAGTTACGGTGTTGGTGGAGAAATGTGTTGTCCTGTTTTCGTTCTCTATGTTATTCTCCACAAACACCGATACATACTAACTTTAGAGGCTTTAGAGGAAAAGGTCCGCCAATTTCCCATGCATTCTGGCTGCCGCAAGCGGCGGAGCATGCAGGCCAAGGACGTTTAAACAGACAGGACCCGGCATGACGTCAGCCTGAGTGAAGCCGGAAGATACGTTTAATCCCAGACTGCCTTACGCACCCGTTCCGAGGCCGTGGGGTAGCGCACCGGCGGTTCGTCTGCTTTCTAATCTGCTCCGGCGTGTGCTTCACGAGGCTAGCTTTCGATGCGGTCGGCGTCCGCCGTGGGCGTCCACGATGCAAATTCTTTGCAGCGTGAGTGTTTATACTTAGTTCCACATTATGTGCGAGCGAAGTCAGAACTGGAAGCGCGAGCCCGTTCTGTGCGCTCCTGGCTTGCATGCGCGCTCATGCGATCTGCTGCTGCTGTTTATTAAAAATACGTTGCGCACCGCCAAGTCCTTCACGGTGCGTCGTCTAGAGCGTCTCAATTCTCGTCACTTACTTTCTGCTGGGCAACCAGGCGTTCGTTTATAATATAAAAGTCTCCCGTTAAGCGCTGTTTCAAATAACAGTGGGTGCCGCCATTACTTTCGGTGCACACAGTCGCGTTGCCACGGAAATGTCATGGCAACGCGGTTGTTTGCACCGAAATTAATGGCCGCGCCCACTCAGTAGGCTTTTCACTGGTCAAGAAATGCTCGTTGCGGCTCGTGGCCACGCCTACTTCCGTTACACTTCGCTCCATGCATTGGGGATAGGGACGCCACCTCCTGCCTATTATAAGCTCCTTGGTGCAGGCAGACCCTCAGGGTCCCACACATGGTTACCAACTGCTTTCAATTTCACAAATGTAATTATATCATCAGTGCAGTTTCATGAACTTCAACAATCCACGAACTTACCGGTGGAAAGATATTCGCGTTCCTTTCGAAGCTTTCTTTTTACATAGCGCGCGGATGTACGGCCGCGCGCTATGTAAAAGGGTCAACGCTAAAATAAACCATAGTCAACGCTAAAATAAACCTGGGTCAACGCTAAAATAAACCAGATACCCGGCTTCGCCGGAGGGGCGCGGGTGGGCGCGGTTGAGGAATACGAAACCGCGCAACCACCAGATTTCAGAGATTTCGGCAGAAGGGAAGTTAATGCATCGTAATGAATATACCGCTTTTAATAAGCGTTAGAAAAGCTCAAAATTTTGTTTACAATGCTAAATTATCACTATTTATATTGCTGAAAGTTTTCAGTCTTCGCGATTACCATTGCGAC